GACCTTGTCAGCAAGGTCAGGAGCAGGGTCACGACACCAGACATTGCGCCAGATCACCGCCAAGGGTCGCCGATATCCATGATATCAGCGGAAATCACACCACGTTTCTCGCGTACCAAAAAACAACAATTTTGCTTCTCGCGTAAAACCGAAAAAAATCTCGCTTCTCACGCGGTTGAAAGCCCAAGCTAATCTGCTGCTCCCGGCCTCTCCTCACCTTCCCCTCCTTTCCTTTACCCCTTTCTTACCTAATCCCATTAACGCTTTTCCCTCTTTTCCCTACCTCCCTATCTGACCCAGCCTACCAATGTGGCCTAACGGTGGGGCACCGTTGTAGTAGGGAACGTAAATACTTACGATGGCCCTGAAAAGGATCAGTAGTGATACTTCTAGCCACTATTTACTATTATTCTTAATGATGGAGAGCTGGCTGTGCATGTAGCTTCACTCTAACCCTTAGCGTCTCTGCATATGGAGACAGTGCTGGAGGAAGATACGCCACTGACCAAAGAATATCTCGTCTTCGAGTCGTTCCCCAGATAACCAACCGCTCATTGGTAGTTGGAAGAGTGGGTCTGAAGAATATCTTCTCTCTGGACATGCCGTTCCTACAAACCACTGCGGATGCTGTTGTGACTGCCCGAACTCAGGGTTGTTCTCTCTGGCTTGCTAACATAATATAATCTGCTCTAGTAGCAGCACCAGGTCAGTTATAGAAGAATGGCCATAACACTCCAAATTGCTAGAGTAAAGTGTGCTCTGCCTTGACGTCTCCTAGCTAGTATTTCGTTGAAGACATCAGCGTTCATAACGTCTGAACATTAGTGGCTACTCGTCAATCATGGTGGTTTAGGACAGAGTTTGGAGAACGACTGATGTATATTTGGTACGTTACTCGGGCCAATTATAACCACACTTATATAATTCAGTTGCAAATTGTTTCGATTTTACTTCGACGCTACCAAGTGGATCAAACAGTACTAAAGCACAAAGCTAGCATATTTTTGCAAAATTTTGAGCTTGTTTATTGCTTTCGTTATTGATTTTTTCAAAATAAAAACTATGCTTAAGGGCAGTCTGGAGAAAATTGTAGTTTCCTACCTTATCGGTAAGGTTACTTTAATTGCATAGCTTTAAAACATTATTTATTTAGTAGCTAGCTATTTTATTGAAAAAATAAGAGTAGACGCACATTCTTGACACATCAAAGAACAATTCAAGCCTACACTTAGCAAAATTGATTGAGAATTCAAGGCAAAAAGTGAAAAATCAGATGTTGGATTGATATGATGTAATCTGATTTATCACTTTTCGTCTTCATATTGCGATAAATCTCCCGTAAATCAAGAAATATTTATTCCTTGTAGATCAAAGAATGTGCGTCTACTCTTATTTTTTTCCAAAAATTGTCTAGAGTAAATTACTGACGCAAATAACATCACCTAACTACAATTAGGCATAAGATGTTACTTTGCATAAGTGAGTTTCCTACTGTATTGACCAACAGATATTTTACTTAGTTAACAACAATCAATTGATCTGGAATACTTACATGTGAGAAAAACAGTAGACGTACATTCCTGAATCTTCAAGGAATAAATATTGCTTGATTTCGAGGAGATTCATTGAAATATGAAGAAGAAAAGTGAAAAATCAGATAACATCTTATCAATCGAACATCTGATTTTTTACTTTTTGCCTTGAATTCTCAATCAATTTTGCTAAATGTGGGCTTGATTTGTTCTTTGATGTGTCAAGAATGTGCGTCTACTCTTATTTTTCAATAAAATAGCTAGCTACTAAATAAATAATGTTTTAAAGCTATGCAATTAAAGTAACCTTACCGATAAGGTAGGAAACCACAATTTTCTCCGGCCTGCTCTTAAACCATCTTAGAAATGTCAAGAACCGATATGCAAAATTAATCTTCATATATTAGTAAGATTTAAAAAGTGTTTTTATCAAATAAATAAATCGCTTCATGCATAAAAATAATAAATAAAATCGAATACATCAAGGATTATACTGTGCAAACACTTTGTTACAACTTTTATTGCCACGTAAAATTAAAAATTGTAGGCGGTGTCCTACAAAACTATAACAAACAAAGGTGTTAATTGGTGTTAGGAATATCGAAATCTACTTGCCGCATGTGAGATTTAACTTTACAATTATGTGCAAAAAAATTCGGCTTAAATGTTTCATACTCAAGTACGAACGTAAAAGTGTACAAAGGTTGGGTACATCTGAAAATCCTCAAAAAATTGAGAACTACTTCAGTAAGTGAAAATTCAGACTATAAACACGTTAACTATACATTAGTTTCTAAACGTGAAAATCTGAATGATGACTGCACACCACATTTTTTATGCGACCCTTTATAGTGATTATGCTTATTAAAATCAAAATATGCAATTATAAAAGGCGTCAATGTAGTGAAACATAATTTGTCAATGTATGCAAATCGAAAAGGACCCTTTGCTATTAAAGATATACTACTTAACGTTCGTAGCATAACAAAATTTTACCACTTCAAACCAATACATTAGACTATCCAGACAGCAGATGTCACAAAAAAAAATTTTTGAAGCTCTGGCTATGACCCAGTTCACGAAGTATAAAAAAATTTTTCTTTTATTTTTACCGATTTGAAAATATAGCTATTTACGCCGAATCACTATTATTTACGAAGTTAGAAGCATTTAAGGTTTTAGATAATTGAAAAGCTTAGTTTTTACAAATCTGAGCAATATTTTGGCTTCGTAGACGTTTGTCACAATACAGTAGAATACCTAGAAAGCTGATCTAACCGAATAAATAATTTACTAAGTGCTGGCTATGGCCCAGTTCACTAAAAATAATTAAATTTTTTTTTTTATTAATTGAAGAATATAGCTTGGTTTGCCGTGTCTCTATTACTTACGCAGTAACAGGCGTTTAAGGTTTTTGAATATTTCAAAAACTATGTTTTTTGAATTTCAAGAAATATATTGGCTTTGTAGATGTTTGTAATGATACATTAGACTATACAAAAAGCTGGTTTGACCAAATAAATTCATTTCAAAGCGCAGGCTACATTCCAGTTCACGAAACATAAAAAAATTTTTAGTGGATTGGCCCAGTGGTGAAACTTCAAGCTATTCTTTATTATTATTCCTGATGATGAAGAGCTGGCTGTGGGTAGCGTGACTCTTACCCTTGGAGTCTCAGTGTGCAGAGTCCGTGCTGAAGGGAAGTACGCCGCTGACCAAAGAATATCTCGTCTTCGAGTCGTTCCCCACGTAACTAACCGCTCATCGTTAGTGAGGACAGTGGGCCTGAAGAATAAGTACCTTCTCTGTGGGTACGTCGTTAGGACGACCGCTAAGGAGGAGGCCGTTATGTCTGTCTGTACTCCTCGGGGCTGTCCTCCTTGATATTGATTCTTGTATCATCTTTTTCAGAAAATGAATTTTCGTGCATTACAGTCGATAACGAGTATAAGTTTCAAAATTTAAATGTCAGAAAAAATTGATTAATTCATTTTCATTTGACTGTATGAATGTAAATAAAAATGTCAATCAAACAAATATGTAAAATCCATTTATTACTAAGTTTTTAAATAAAACTAATGAGTTAAACAAAACTATTGAATTAAATAAATATTTGAAACTTATTTATTAAAGTCTTAAAAATTCAAATTGAATGAAGTAAATCTTATTTTGAGTTACTGTTACTTTCCTTAAATGAGCGGCAAAATTGAGTTGGTGTAGAGTTAGGAAAAAGTATAATCTGGCATTAATATGAATAAAGTATAAATAAAGCCAATCTTATCTTAGTAACTCCTTCTTGTTATAGTGTACTAAAATAAAACAGTTTCAATGAACTGTTAACAGTATACAAAGAGTACGTAGGTATGTCCGTAAATAAGTATGTACAATATTAATATTTATCTGCTGCCTATTTTCAAAACGAAGACTTTGCTATCGTTTAGTAAACTAAATAGTTTCAGTGTAAAAAAAAATAGTAATACATGCATTTTTGAAAACTATATGGTAAATCTCAAACAATGAGAGGGGAAGTCCTATAAAATTTTACCGATCAGGTAAAGAAGGGAGGATAATTTAGAGCTTTGATAAAATATTACACGATATTACCGGGTACCCTCCAAGGCACATATTCTTGAAAATCGTTTTTTTGTTAGTTTGATTATTTTTTAACTGAAAAAAATAACAAAAACAAAAAAAAATGGTCTTGAAATAAACAAAAAAATACAATCATTAACAATCTATTTGTTTCCTAGAAGAAGTTCTTGAGAAATCTGCCATTAAATAGTTTAAACAAATTAAAATGAAGTTAAGAAAAACGAGTTTCAATGTTTTTTAATTTCACTTTAACTTAGCAGGATTTTTAAGAATAACCCTGGTTTCAGCTGTTTTATAACATGAATAATTAATGGCCTCTTTAAAATCATAGCATAGTGTTTATTAAAGAGTCATTTTTTCTTATACACCAAAAAATGCAAAAAATCGAAACATCATTTTCATTTAACTGCAATTACAGATTATTTGTCTACAAGTAACAATTACTCGCATTTAATAGCGTTTTTCTTGCTATACTGCCTTACGAACATGTCAGTAAAGTGTTTTTTAATTTGAACTGCGATGTTCAGGAGCTATTTTGAATATGCTGACAATATTTCAGAAAAATTTATCAGAAAAACTTATGTTCCACAAATGTCTTTCAACTGCTCATTTGATAGGATTGACACAATAATCGTTAAAAATTGTAAACAAAAGTCGAAAAGTTTTCACAAATTTTTTTTGCTTTCGAATCTTTTAATCAACTACAAAAATAATAATTTTGTGTCTGATAGCGGTTGACAATTTTTTCTATTAACAGAGCCAGCTAATTAATGCCTATTAATCGGAATGAATTTAAGTCCATGCTATTCTACCATTTTATAATTTATTTAAAGATACATGAATGATATATAAGCTCACAGTTCTTCGTGAAATAGTACACTCATATCCAACGAAAGTTTGTGCTACTGTCCAGACTCACTGAAAATCTTTCGTCTTTTTATATAGCACGATGAAGTTGCTTATTCTAACATTTGCTTTGTACATTGGCTTCGTTTTATCGGTTCGTAAAAATTATTTTCGTTCATAACATAAAAATATACCTCATAATATTGAAGTCTTAAAATTTTAAAATAGACTTGATAAGTTAGATCGAGTGTAAGTCTATCTTTTACCACAACTCTATGTATTATCAGCTAAACTCGTGTAAAGTTCTTGTCAGTATTAAAAGTTAGTTGTTAAGTTAATAAAGGGATAATAAAGATGTACTCAAAAACTCTTTTTATCTTCTTTTACCAGCAAGAATATAATAAAGAATCACAACGCCACAAACGCAATTATATAACAAGTCGGCAAAACTTTTGCTACAATGAAACTGGATTTGATAAAGGTAGTAATTTTTATACTTCAAAATATTTTCATTCCGTAAATTTAAGAAATCAACTACGTGTAAAATAAAAGTCTACAGTTTGATTACATCAATCTTAGCCAAAAATTAATTTAAAATTTTCGTATTTATGTTTCAAATGCACTCTGATTTGTTTCAGAGAAGCATACACAAATACGACTTACACGTGCATACCCATTGGACATCAGTTATTTTTGTTTCGTGGGCTGTGCTACGACCCAGCCTAAAGGAGTACGTAAAGCAAATACATTTTTTCTAAGTACAAGTTTAACATTGAAATTTTACAACTTTTATTGCAGTTGTTTCTCTCCACGAGAAGTATGAACACAACTTTTCTTCTAGAGGCTTTAACTCGAACATTCACGGTCGAGGAAGCAAATAATATTATTGATAAGTGCAAAGATATAAGTAAGTATAAATCGCTTTAATTTTCAATTATACTAATACATTTACGATAGATTCTGCAGTAAATTTGTCAGTTTTACAATTAAAATCCAAATTTTTGTAAAGTAATTATCTTAAATTCTAAACATATTTTTGCTTTAATTAACAAACTTAGTTAAAATCTGCGGGCCCCTAATTATTCATAATTATGACGACAGGAAACACAATATTACAGTTGTATTTTCACTGTTTAAATTGTCCGTAAGCTCACTAGTGTATATATAATTAAAAAATACCTAAATTAAAACCATAATTACGTACTTTTTTCGTATCGTGATATCAAAATTTTATACACACTACACTTCGATTTTTGAATACTTAAAAAATAAATAATGAACATTGTTTGGTTAAAATTACTATAAATAACGAAATGTTTTTAATGTTACATGATTTATCATATGGTAATATACAGTGATATGTACATGTTGTATTGACATCAGCACATAAAACAAAACATCACCATATATCACCAAATAATGAATCATATAACATTGAAAATCCAGTTTGAGGCATGAGATGGATTAGACACTTTTCGACTGTTTTTTTTAATGCTTAAAATTAGAATAAATGTGTTTTTGTTCATCATAGCAAAAAACTTCAACTTTAATCATCTACATTTCTGCGAATGAACTATTGTTTGCTGTTTCATAGTTCGTGTTTGTAGGCAATTGATATGATATAAAAGAATTGAAGCAGAATCGCTCATTTTTCAAGACTAATTTAGTTATCAAATTAACATATTAAAATTTTTCAGATACAAACGGTCTGTGTGCTACTGGAAGGAGTATTCATGAGTGCTTTGCTAAACAAGGATTCATGATCGCAGATTGGATTGGATACCTAGATGGAGACATTGTTTAGCTGCAAATAGTTACTTAAATATTTTCTGCACCATTTATTTGTGCAAATATCAATATTTTTGACTATTATCACAAAGCTTTATTTGAAATTTCTTGCTTAAGAGTTCTAACTATGTAACAGGTATCTGATACACTTCGTGCTTCATTAAAACTGTCAAAATTACTTGGAAGTACTTTGAATATTAATCAATTCATAAAATTAATAAAGTTGTTTAATTCATTATTAACATAAAGTACAGATAATTACTTTTTAGACTCCAATTGTTTTCAATTATCCTACGACGTTAAAATAAGACAAAATATTCCATATCATTTCATCTGGCAGACTTCTATAATTAGTTGTCATTAAGACTCTTCATTCAGCACATTTTTTGCGGCAGTCAACACTTTTTTCTTCTTTATTTCTAACTGAATACGAGTTTTTAACACGTACTCGTAAGATTTTAGTTCAATATTTTTTTGAAGTACAATTATGGAAAAGTAACAATAATTTGCAGAATCCAACAACTCGACGTACGTGAAACAGAACTAGGAAATATCATCAGGTCAAGGTTTATCTTTACCAACATTAAATTTTTCCAGTTAAAGAAAATATTTTTTTTTGTGTTGCCGTGATCATGAATTTATGATCCTGCAAGTAAAAATTTTTTTTTTTTTAACACAAAATCTTATTTGGAATTGCATTTTAATTCATAATAGTGATCTATAGAGCAGATAAATAAAAAAAACACACAAGATTCATAGCTTAGATGTAGTATGCTCACATATAAAGCTACTTAAAGATAAATGGTTATTTTTATTTCTCTGTCAATAGTTTCTTAAAGATTTCATGCCACAAGCATACGAAAATTATAAATATTTTATTTTCGACATCTTTTCATTATATTTTGTCATAAAAACGCTTATAGAATTGCTTTTAAGATTATTAATAGGTCATGAAATTTACTTTTATACTTGTATATGCTTTGTAATAAAAATATTTATTAAAACAAAGAATTTTGTTTTATAATGAAGACCTATTTAGATCAAAATCCTATATGCCGTATGTGACTTCGTTCCATAAATGAGATTACAGCGAATGCCTAGGACTAAATATCATTTTTAAATAGTACTCTGAAAAAGAGGGTAAAAATTTTCTGGTGGTGGCCATTAAAACTAATTTTGTATGCAGAATTATGAATAAGATAGGCGTGTACTTAATACAAGAGTAACACTTTATACAATTTTAAATGACTGTTAAATTTAACTATCCAGTCTCACGTTGTATTATTTTTAATAAGTATTTAAGAGCACAAAAAAGATTTTATTTTTTTTATTCTTAATAGTATTAAGAGAGTAATGGTTTAATCTTTTAAATAAGTATTTAAGACAAAGCACATGAAAATTCTTTTTTTTTTAAACATCTTAAAGCAGATGACTTTTTAGTTCTTTTAGGGCTGTTGAAATTTTTGTGACCCTCAAGGGCTGTTTTTTTGTCAATTTTGTTAAGTTGTCATATATTTGTTGGCAAAGTAGTTCGACGTTCAATGGCCTTAAGGTGGCCTCATCATACGTGTACTAGGTATACGATTGCGTGACATCAAACCATCAGACCTACAAACATCCGGTCATGACGCTGCTATGCCACAAGTAACCTGTGTCTTTTGATACATAATCACCTTTTCGATAGCTAATACCAAAATATTCTCGGCACACCCAAATTTTTTCGATATTATTAAGAAGCTGACGACTTCTACTTTTGATTTTTAATTTCATACAAAAAGTAAAGTTACATTTTGAAAAATATCGTAACATTTTAAATCAATATTATGTGGCCTTCCATAACAGCCCAAGTTAAACATGAAAATTTAAGAGATTTTTTTTCAAAAAATTGCCTGGCAACACAGCTTCAAATTTTTAGAGGTGATTCGGTTCAAGTATAATTCTTCCAAGATGCGTTGATACTTACAGTATTTCGATTTCGTAACAAGCCACCTTAAAAAGGACTGGTGGGCTAAAGTCTTTCTCTTCTGAAGTACGTGCAATAGCGAGCCTTTGACAGAGAAAAAAAAAACAAAATTAATGGAGTGTGTCGCAGAATACTGCATGAGTGAACTCTTGGTATGATACGCTGCGTGAGTCACATGGTGGCAACACCGAACTTTCGTACAGCCGACTTATGGTACTTAAGTTGCAAAAGTTTTTATCGGAAACTTTCATCATTATATTTATTAATGATATTAATGTAATAAAAATAACATATTTTTATTTTACTTTCCTAAAACAATAAAAGTGAGGTAGCTATTTTTTCCTCTGCGCTTGAAACCTAAGTCAACAGAATATTCTCATAATTAGGTTATGCTAACCATGGCACTTTTTTGAAGGTGCAGCTACGAATTCTGCACGCAATTCTGCGCAAACATATTTCGTTCTTTTAATGACCAACCGACGTTCTTCGTAACTGGCTTCAGCGCAACTTTCTTTCGTAACTTTTGTTATTGCAGTTTCAACAGTTCCTTGCATACAACTTAGGGTCTATGAGCGTCATACTTAGGTACTCCATAAGTTGATTTAGTTGTTGGCAACCAGTTTTTTCCTCGATAATTTCAATTTTTAAGGTGGAATCGAATGCGAGATTAAATTTGCTGGGAGTTGTGCTATTTACATGACTGAATATTTGTTAAGCAAAATATTTTAAACATTTGATATTAAAAGCTGATAAAAAAAATTTTTAACAAGAACGTATGTGTCAACAATCGGACACCCATTTGTTTTTTTTTTGGTATTTGTCTAAATTAACAGTATAATTTTTTGACGAATTTCTTTCTCGCCTCTACCTGTTTTGGTGTTTGTCTGAATTGACAGAATAATTTTTTGACGAAATTCTTTCTTACCTCTACTTCTGCTGGTGTTTGTCTGAATTGACAGAGTAATTTTTGACGTTTCTTTCTCGCCTCTACCTATTCTAGTCATGTTACTTATTTTTTTTTTTTTTTATGAACTGGATTAGACACTTTTCGACTGTTTTTTTTAATGCTTAAAATTAGAATAAATGTGTTTTACTTAACGTTCGTAGCATAACAAAATTTTACCACTTCAAACCAATACATTAGACTATCCAGACAGCAGATGTCACAAAAAAAAATTTTTGAAGCTCTGGCTATGACCCAGTTCACGAAGTATAAAAAAATTTTTCTTTTATTTTTACCGATTTGAAAATNGTGTTTGTCTGAATTGACAGAGTAATTTTTGACGTTTCTTTCTCGCCTCTACCTATTCTAGTCATGTTACTTATTTTTTTTTTTTTTTATGAACTCTGCACTTCCTGTTGTATATGTGACCCTCTAACATACATAACACACTGTTGCCATCTTTCTATAAAGATTTTTTCTTTCTATAACTACAAATTTTTAAAATACTGCCTTAGAGTCAGGTCCATGTGATTGGAACTTAACATAACTTTTGAAAAATAATTTATAAATTGTAAGCCCTCAATTGAAATATCTTAGTTAGAGCATGAAAATATCAAAGTTATTGTTCAATAATCCATATGTATATAATGGTTAGTTAGTTTTTTGCCCGTAGCGTGCTTCACGCAACTCATTTTAGCACTATATTTTAAAATTACAAAATTTCTCTAATGCTTTGTCTCTGTCATGATAATTTTATTAAATTTTACAGTTAAAAAAAAAAGACTTGAATTGCCGCACTAACTTGTGAGACAACTTAAATATTTTATTCATCATCATTTTTAAGTAAAATAGTAATAGAATCAAAGCTTTACGGTTTAAGAATTAATTTTTAACTAGCGTTCGTATATTGAAGATCAGGCATCATTTGATACATTAAGAAATGATATATTGTGACACATGTTGTGTGATAAAAAAAGTTTTAAGCTAATGTACCAAAAGAAGTAACGTTTATAAAACTGCCATAAGATGGCCCACCTCTCAAGGGTAATGCGCATTGAGCAGAAAAATAAACATAAAGCCAGCTAAATTTTTGTATAATATTTAATAAGTTTAAATAAACTTGAACAAAGGTAAGAACTTAAATAGAAGCTAATAAAATAAAATGATTTACCATTTAGTTTAGATTATTTTCTTGTCTATTTTACTCCCACTGAATTATTCTATGTTATCGTTTATCGATAACCACTTGTCTCATCTTAAGGAAAACTTGGCCTGTTGTCAAACAGAGTTTTTTTAACAAAGAAACGATGATTTTTGGTCAGACGGCTTGTAAAAATTGTTTTATCTATGTGGCATTGAAAGCTTATAAATGCTGATAACTTAAAATGACGGAGGAAGCTGATGCATTTCTAATAAAAAAGTTGCTTCGTGTATTTGTGTGGACTTTATTTCTAAATGCTACATTCACGTAACATAATATATTAATGAGGAAATCCACAAAAAAATTTTAACAAGGGTTGTAGTGAGGGTGACACCCTTTTCCCGCGATTTCCATCTTAAAATTATATCTATAGACGTCATATGTACACATGTACTTTTAACATATACATCACGGAAAAATGGGGTCAACTCCGCTGAACCTGTGTTCAAAATTTTTTTACTCATAGTACATGATATAGTAAAAAGAGTCTGGTTTCAAAGATGTGCCTCAAAAAAATTTTTGTATTAAAATGGAATAACACGGGATATTTTTTGCGGATTGAATCATTTTTTCGGAGTCAAGAGCAAAAAAAAGAATACATGAAGAAAGGTGATAAAAACATGCTTACAAACCTTTTACACATGCAGTAAGCTAAGAATTACAGCGATACTTTTCGATGTACTTTGTAGTAATTTTATATTTTTGTTTTATTTAAATTAATTTTTAAAAAAATCATTTTTTTAATGGTATGAATTATTTTAATAATCTTTACTAAAGAGAGTAATGGTTTAATCTTTTAAATAAGTATTTAAGACAAAGCACATGAAAATTCTTTTTTTNTAATTCCTTCAGCAATCAAAGAAATAAAATTTCATACAAAATTTTTAAATTATAGTATGCTACATTTCACCACTCTAATCAGCAGTATGGATCATCAGCGCTTAAAAAAAATCTTTGTTCTTTAAGAAGGCCCTCTAAGTCTTCGAAAAAATATTTTTTAGTAGTAAAGCAACCACACTGTGCTGTACTAAGCAGAGATGAGTAGAGAGATTGTTAACTTTTTGGCACTGATCGGAGCGCCCCACCGCGGCCAGCCGTCAAACCGAGCGCACATCTAACTATATACTCGTATCGAACAGCGTGCGCCTATACCTACGAGAAGAGGAGTAGATTCGCTTGGAAATAATCATATAGGCGCACATTTTGGAGAGACGTGGAAGGGGTATACCAAATGTGTGTCTACGAGGAAAGGAGTGGAAATGTTGACTATTGGCCAGGTGCATGTCATGCAGCGCCACTCTTGGTGTCAAAATCATGCAACCGGGGGTACCCACATTACACGTCAACAGCATACACCGATGCACACTTTTAGTAATAATCAATTAATAAGGAAAAAGTTAGTATATTTATTCATCTGATAATAGATATAATCATAAAAACAGGCCTTAGGAATATCACACGCTCGGTTTGTTTTAACTCTGAAGCTTTAAAAAGAGGTAAGCAGTTGGTTAAAAGTAGTCATGTGTGCGATATTACAGAATTTCAAAGTGATGGAGTTAGCAATTTGACAAGTGCCATCGTAATAAGGCAGACCTCGGTAACTTCAGCTCCGTACAAAGTTAACCTGCATGTACATTTTATTCAGATTATTTTGAAAATTGTCTAAGTTGCAATGCACATGAAAATTACCTTTATTTACAGTTAGATAATCACCGAAATTTATGTAATTTTACTCCATCTGTCTTTGACACTGAACAACACAGCACTTTCTTACACCCATATTTATTATCTTTACACATATATTGTGCTCGTGCTACGCACTCGTGTGCTCAACTTGCACTCATTCCCGTCAACTCCGGCCACTCGTGCGAGTCAATCACGACTCGTGCGGGAAATCGTTTTTTCCGCACTTGTTACGTAAATAACTATTTTTTTTTAATTAAAGCGTTAAGAGCGGTATTTTTTGTTATTACGTATTTTAGATGATTTTCATGGATAATTAATTATCGTATAAAATATTATTGATCGAAACAGCTTAATCATTTTCTTAAAAAAAACATACACATACTCACTATAAATAAATCAATTTAATAACAAGTAGTTGTTACCACAAGGTATAAATTGTGACGAACGTAAAAATTTTGCTGGTAATAATCATATTTGATGCTATTGTATGTTTATAATTTCTTGTGAGTTTTAAAATGTATGAATTATACTTTCATCTTAAGAAATTTATTTTGTTATTATGAAATTGCGAAATGGCCTTGCCAACGAGAAGTATCTACTTATTAAATTATTAAATAGATTTAGTATAAGAAATATATTTATTTCAACGTGAATATACTCCTCTTCTCGTAGGCGCACGCTGTTCGATACGAGTTGTAAGATGTGCGCCCGGTTCGACGGCTGGCCGCGGCGGAGCGCTCCGATCAGTGCCAAAAAGTCGTCTCGCATCATAGCATTGGCGTTAGCAATCTCTCTACTCATCTCTGGTACTAAGATTAAGTACATGTGATTGCCAAAATTGTAAGCATTACGCTAATGTAAAGCATTTGCTCGGGTGAGTAGTATGTGGTAAAATTGTAGTAGTAACAGTTTTAATAGCAAAAGTGTATTTCACTCTCTTTCTAAGATAGACCAGAAAAAAATAGCGAACTAGTCTAAAAGATAATCTAGTCTGATAAAAGTCAAAGTAAGTCTTTTAAGCCTATATTATTATTATTATTACTATTATTATTATTATTATTATTATCANATTATTTTTATTTATCTTTAAGTTCACAAGGACTACACCCTTAAGGAGAATTTCTTGTACTTACTATGTAAGTCGTATTTTAATAAGTCCTATAAGATGTATTTGAAGCATAAAAGCATCACAATGAGGCTACATTCATAGGACATTACCAATTTTCGAAATGTTGCTAAGCTTTTAAGAAAGTGTTATGTTGGGTTCTATGATTTTGAAAAAAACGTTGTCCTGAAATTGGTACGATATTTGTTAAAAAATGTCTTCCTATTCAATACATTCAGCTCAACATCTTAACATTTATAATGTAAGCAAAAATATAAAAATATTAGGTAGAGAAAAAATTGTATTTTGAGGATGGGTTATTTATCTTGATCGTATATATGCTGCAAGCATGTCAATTTTTAAGGAAACAAAAAGTTTTATCGATCTTTTCAGAGCTCTACAGATTTCTGGTTCGTTACGTACTTACTTTTAAAGCAACTACTTATTTTGAAAATAATGTATATTATTATTGTTTTAGCAGTGGTTTTACGTATCGTTGCCAATTATCGATTCCTTTTACAGATGGAAAGTGTTTGGGTTATTAATGGAATTTTCTATGAGCCAGTCTATTAAACCGAAACATACAGAGATTTGGTTCCTGAAACTATTATAAATAAAAAAAAAAAATTTTTCACCATAAAAAAACTATTTATTTTGTTTTAAACTAAAAAAAAAAAAACTAAATTGGCTACATGGGCTAGCATCCCATTCAAAAATTGTCACTGTTGACGACACTTGGAAAAAAATCAGAGAAACATGAAGACATTAATATTAGCATTTCTTTTATACATTCAATGCAAAAAAAAATTTTATTTTACAAAAGTTATATGATGTAAAATTAGTGGTCTCAAAATATTATGAAGCCAATGTATCAGCAAAAAATGCTCTCCCAAATTCAAGCGATTAAGTTTATATAACGTTTTCTTATCCACGCAGAATAAGAGAACTGCAAAAAATTTTTTCCGATTTTTTGTCACAAAAAAACTATTGCTACAGACTCACGAATTTAAGAATTCAGTCACCCTACAATAAAAATTAATCACCCGTGACTCTTTTAAATGTAGCATAGGAGCGTTTTTTCACCTTATGTTTAATTATATCGACTTAGAACATACAATGTTATGCTGTCGTTGTTATGTACATAATAAGTGTAAATGCAAAGTTTTATCTTTATTTGGTACATCACAGTTTCTAATTTACGACGATTGTATGGGTAGGGTTACCGCTGCCCATTATGTTGCATTGGGAAATTCTTTTTCATCACAGTCCAAAAAATGATCGCTCATTTTTTTTGTTACAAAAAATACGATATAAATATTTTTGAAAATTTTTAACTTTGACTTTTTATTCAATTTAGTCTTTGTAGTATTCTTTTTTTTATATAAAATGACCCATTTACTAATGGCAAGATTACAGAAATTCACATCTTAAAAAACTATACTACTGACATGATAACGTACAAGGAGGCCACTTTTTTATGAAATTTTTTTTTAATGATGAAACTAATATTTAAAATATGTTTGTTTTTTCAGCTGAAAAGGTGATGTGATTAAGAGGTGTTTGTTTTACAAACCACATTTCTTATTGTTACATTATTAATCCGTGAGCATGACAACGTTATGACAGTAAATAGAAAGTAACACAATGACTTAAAAAATAATGAAACTTGACATTTCAATACTTAAAACTTGTATAATTAGAATGTATTACATTTTTTCCTTTTTTATGTTAACTAATTTGAATTAAAATAAAAATCTTCTACTTTATGTCGTTCATAACTACTTCAATATTATCAATGCTAACTATACTATGACTTTTTTTATCTTAGAATTTGTTTTTTAACTTTTTTCGAATTTCGAATAATCTTAACAAATTTTATTTATCTTACAAGTATGAAAGTATACTACAAAACTATAAATTTAATATTTGTATGGTCGCAGTACAATACAAGTAAATTTATTTTCATAAAAAGTGAAAAAAAAAAATTGTATATTTAATGTATCATTTTTTATAACTTCTGGATGTTTATTACAGCTATTATCTGTAGAAGGAAGGAGATTTTCAAGAGGTTAGGAGGCCGCAAATATGCGAATCTTTGCCACGCAAGTTATACATGTTTATGTGAACGTGTGTTTTTTATGTATCCTTGGGAGTGTATGTAAAAGATACTGTATAATAAAGGAAACTTATTGTTTTTTTAGTACAGTTTTAATTTTAAATGTTGCTTTAAGTTAAGTGTAAAGCTTAATCCAGATGTCGCCAGGACCTGCTAGTCCTGATTTAAGGATGTATTAGTACATCCGTAATTCTCTGTACGAGTGTGATTCTCTGTTTGTTGAGTCTTATATCTGCTTGTGTTGTAAGTTTGTTACCATAATTATGTATATGATTTACAGATTTACCCCCTTATGTACTAACACATTCATAAAATTACACATTAAATTTACGCAGATTGACGAGTACATCCATGGATTAGGACTGGCAGGTCTCGGCAGTCCCGGCACCCTCTGGGTTAAGCTTGACACCATAGCATGGTGACTTCATGTTCCTTATTACCTACAGTGCAGGATGAAGGGGTGTAGCAATATCTCAGTTAGAGAATATCGTAGTATCAAACAATTAGGGTAGGCTTGTCATCAGCTTGCCTAGTACGATTGTAATGAGGTATGGCTATATTGACGTACTTAGATACGTATAGTCCATGATATAGTCTTATAATTAATGATAAGGAAGAAAAGGTGAATCTTTACTGTACATGTTACAATAGAACTTACACAATGATTCTGAAAAATTTTAAATACAAGGCAAACTTTTTTTTTAAATTATTTTATTTAAAGCCAATGATAATTTCGTGCTCAGTTGCAGTAGAAAATTATTTTGTCAGTGTTGTAGTAATAAAGCCAGCTAACAAATGCTTATCAATTGGGAAAAAAATTCGATATATTCCCACCATTTTCAAATTTATTTTAAGATATATATGTAGTGTACATATAAGCTTAGACCTCCTAATGAATGAAGTTTATATCAAACTAAAGGTGCTACTGTTCAAAGGTACAATTAATTTTTGGTCTTTGAATATTATACGATGAAGTTGTTTATTCTAGCCGTTGCTTTGTACATCAGTTTTGTCTTATCGGTACGTATAAATTATTTTTATCCATAACATAATAAAATACATCAAAATCCTAGAATTTTAAAATAGACTTGATAAGTTAGATCGAGTGTAAGTCTATCTTTTACCACAACTCTATGTATTATCAGCTAAGCTCGTGTAAAGTTCTTGACAGTATTAAAAGTTAGTTGTTAAGTTAATAAAGGGATAATAAAGATGTACTCAAAAACTCTTTTTATCTTCTTTTACCAGCAAGAATATAATGAAGAATCACTACGCCACAAACGCAATTATTTAACAAGTCGGCAAAACTCTTGCTACAATGAAACTGGATTTGATAAAGGTAGTAATTTTTTATCATTTAAAACATTTTAATTTCATAACTTTTGAAATGAATGATAAGTACGTGATATAAGTCTAGTATTATCGGATTTATTTCTGCAAAATTCATTTCGAAATTTTTTATTCTTTCTAAAATTCTACTTGCTTCAGAAAAACATACAAAAATACGATTCAAGCTAAATTTATTTAAAATTTTTTGTCTTTTTCTGAAATTCACCCTGATCTGTTTTAGAAAAGCTTACACAATTACGACTTACACGTTCATACCCATTGGACATCAGTTATTTTTGTTTCGTGGGCTGCGCTACGACCCAGTCTAAAGGTGTACGTAGAGCACACAAATTTTAAAAAATACACATTTATTGATGATATTTTACAACTTTTATTAGAGCTGTCCCTATCGGCAAGAGTCATGAACACAACTGTTCTTATGGACTCTTTCACTCGAACACTCCCAATTGAGACAGCAAATAATATCATTGACAAGTGCAAAGATATAGGTAAAAAAATTGTTTGGTTTTTTAATCATACTAACACATTTACGAGTAATTATGCAATCCATCATTATGTTTGACTTTGTAAAGTTAAAATTCTTATAAAATGATTGCGTTAAGTTCTTAATATAATATCACTTAAATAAGCATTAAAAATTTTGAATAACTATTAAGACTTATATTTTGTCTCTAACAGATGAACAACACTTTTTCAAGGATCGTAAATATCGAAAAAAGTTTGAATTTCAAACCTGCGGGACTACAATTATTTCTTATGTTGACAAAAAACATTATAAATATTGTAATAAACGTTATACCATGAAAATGTTGCACGAAAAATTTCAGATTGTTTAACCATACTGTTTTTTCATGCATCCAATTTAAAAAAATTTTAATTAAACACGTAACTTTATAGATGAGTCACGTAAAATTGCAATTATAAGGAGATTGTCTGTAGAAATCACACAGTTTTTTATATGTTAGAGTACTTCAAATAAAATAAGAAAAAAGGGGTCTATTATGCATAAACGCATCTACAAAGGTATATCCATATAAGCTAAATAATTGCCACCGTTATTGCATACATCTGCTACCCTAACCTCTCTGAACTTTTCATCTGCTAACTGAAATTACATCCTTGGAGCAGAATCGCACATTTGTGAAAACTGTTAAATTGTAATATTTACATCGAATATTTTCAGATACAAACGGTCTGTGTACTGCTGGAAAGAGGATTCATGAGTGCTTTGCAAAACAAGGATTCATTATCGCAGATTGGATTGGATACCTATAGATGATGACGTTGTGTAACTGCAAATATAAGAACTCCAATATTATCTGCACTACTTACTTATTCCAAGTTAATTAATCGCTTTAATAAAACAATCAACTAATGTAACAATCGTAAAACTTGATTAGTAAAGAAATCCTATTTTCTTGAGCGATAAATATGATTGCCGACACAAATTTAAATAGTTTATAAATGTAACTTGAAAGTGGACCAGGTGTTGATATTTTTCTAATATATTTTATTGTATTCTTGTTGTTACCTAGTAAATTAATGTATATTATATAATAATAAATATATGTGATACACACTATCAAAAAAAACTACTATACAGGAATTCTTTCATTTCTTTCCAATCAAGTATTTCATGTAACTATTCATTATTTCACAATATTTTTTGTCGCATAAAATAAATTTTATTAAATTTTTTTGATAATTGATATCAAGCCTGTCGATGTATAATATGGTAAGATTTTAATACTGAAAAAAAAGATTTCAGTGGTGGAGGTAACACAAAATCATCGAAACTAAAATTTGACATTCGCAAGACAACGGTAAAAAAATTTGCATCAAATCAATAAGTTTTTAATGATGGGTGTTCTATTTGCTTGTTTTACTATTTTATTTCAAAAGATAACATATCTTATGATTTTGTCATAAACAAATTCAACATTAAAATTAGGGCTTCATTATTATGGTTACAGCTTTATACAGGAAGCTCACTCGCTAAGAGGAGTGATGTCAATATATTGATAATACTTTGAACAGAGAATAATTAGTGTATGAAAAACCTTCGATTCAAATTTCAAGTCCCTTTATGGCTTATAAAGTGAGATATTGATAATTTTACTATTGAACTTTTAACGTACAGTCTTATGAGAATCAGTACTGTTCTGATCATAACCTGCAATATCTGGATAATCGACGTCAAGATTTGATTGAAAATTTTTTGAAAATATCTAAAAACTTGGTGATTACGTAGATATAGTCTTATCTTCACTCATGGCTTATGGAACGAGCAATAAATTAGTGAATAAAATAATTCTCCTTCGACAGCTACCGTTAGTATGTCGCGTTATATCTGTATAAATAGTCATGCAGGTTACAATACTGCTGATCGTATACGTCAAAAAGGTTAGGTACGAGTGAACTCCCTTAAAAACAATAAGTTTGGAATCATGCAGAAAAGTACGGCAAAAGTTACAGAGACACAGTGAGTTATTATAAAAAGCTTTATTCCAAATTTCTTTCAACATAAAGTATTTGTACTTATCATTGCATAAAGTCGTAAAAACTATTCAGCAGCTATACCTGATACAGCTTATGCAGAATTAAAACTATTAAAATTAAGTGCCAGTACTCGGAATGTTGATCAATTCATAAAATAAATATAGCTGTTTAATTTGTTGTTAACATGAAGTACAAATTATTAATTTATTGTTCCAATTTTCTTTAATTCTCGCATATTAAGGTAAGACAAAATATTCCATATGATTTCGTCTGGCAGACTCATATAGTTAGTTGTCATTATGACACTCTCAAATGCTTCGTTAAGTACATTTTTTGCAGCTGTCAATACGTTTCTTTTTTCCATTGCTAACTGAATGCGAGTTTGTATAACGTACTCGTAAAAGCATTTGTCGGTATTTTCTTGGAGTGACAATAAAACAACTGTGGAAAGGTAATGGTAATTTTCATAATCCAACAACTCGACGTATGAATCGAGTGGCATCGTCATTATATCAAAAATAAACTTGTGGCCTATTTTAACTTTCTTCAGTTCATTTATCGTACCAGTACAAGCACAGAGAATCCGCGACCACGTACCATCCAATTTAAAGAGTCCATTTATCGGAGCCAAATCATGATGTACTTTATTTAACTGTAAGTAAATGGCGTAGTAAAAAATTATCAAGGACGAGAATATTTCCGCACGTAAACGATCGCTTCCCTCAAAAAAGTTATAAATAATCATTAGATTAATTGTTTCGTAGTCTTTAAATTCCCACAATAAACATGCCATCATTATATCATTATCATTAAAATTACGTATGTTAAAACGCGGCATTTGAACGGAAAAGTGCCTGTTAACAAAAAGAAGAAAAAAAAAGTTTACGATTAATTACAGTAAGTTTCTTACACTATACGTACTTTTTCGAGTAATATACATACCCATCGGTTCGAAAACCAGCCTCTAACAGTATTTTAACAACGTTCACTTGACGCTTCTCTATATCCACGTACATCATCGCGTTTAGGTCTTGACAAGGATGTTTACTCGTGTCGTCGATAAAATTTTTGTCAAGCAATTGATTAACAATATTCTCGTGGCCCATAGCGACAGCCACGATTAGCTCATGCAGCTTGGGATTGTTTTCACAGAAACGAATGGACACATCATCACTTTCAGTTGCAACAGGGTTTTCATATGTTACCAGGTCAACGTTTGCCTTTGCCAACATCAAATTCAACAAAGGCCAACATTTAATTTTTATGGCTAAAGAAAATGGTGTTTCTTTTATGTAGTCGTGCTCATGAATATTTGCTCCTGCAAGTAAAAAAGTGGAACCATGCGAGTTTATCTTTTGAAATTTGTGAATTTATTTTCAAACTAATTAAAGAATAAACTAACGAAAGAATTAGGAAAAAAAAATTTTTTTGTCGAAAAAAATTTTTTTTCTTATTTGTTGCAAAATTTGTTCATAACTATGGATTTGATAGTCATGCAACAATCCACTATCAGTAATTTCGTAATACTAATAAAAATTTTTAAGAAAAAATTGGGTGGACTAATTTAACTCAAAGGTGTACATCTCACTATTACTCGTATGCAGACTACGGGTAGCATAGCAGAACGCTCACGGTTCAAAGCTTATTGTTGAGAAAATTTTTTTTCCAGTCTGAAGTATTCGTAATCTAAAAGTAAAATGTTTAACAAAATTTTTATGCTTTGCAGAGTTACTCAAAGTTTTTCAACAATCGAGATATTAACGGTTGAAAATTACAAAAATTGCAAATTTTTTCAAAAGTACAACGTTTAGAGAAAAATTGCAAGAAAGATTTTTTGCTTAAAATGAACCAAAGAATAAGTATAAATTTTTTTTCAACAAAAGTTTATAATTCTTTAACTTATTTATGAAATTTGTTAATAACTTTAGATGCGCAAAATTTCACAGCAAGCCACCATCGAAAATCGTGTTCGGTGGATCAAAATATAGGAGTAAACGACCCAACTACTGCGCAGGCACCAATTACTGCGCACTCGATGGTAACTGAAAATAAGAAAAACAGACTGAAAAATTTGGGTACTCGGATATTGTAACACGTACGGACATTAATAACGTTCAATCCTGAATCATACTTTACATCATGACATTTATAATTAATAAAAAATGTTTGTCGTTTTAATCGCACAAGATGCTGCAGATAAAGATTAAGTACAACTGGTTCAATTAACATCGAAAAACATTGAGAAATGAGAAATTCAGTAAAACCAAAAATTTCAGTACGCAGTAATTGGGTCATTTACCCCTATAAAAAAAACTCGAGTAGGACCATTTAAATTGAAAAGGCCACGGGAACCCACCTGGTGCCCACACGGTCAAACATATGTTTTAAAAGTTTTTGACGTGGTGAGATTATGTTACAGCAAAATGAAAAAGTATATAAGTAATGTTAACGATGTTACGACACTCATGATTATTCAGATGCATTTTACAGCAACTGATAAACAAACTGTATATATATATTATGTACAGACTTTTTTTCGTGTATATTTCCTGTTAGTCGCTTTTGAAAAATTACACTCGGCACTTTTGAGAAGATTTATTAAAAAATTCTATGACTTGGGTGTTTTTGAAACGTTTTGCGGAATGACAGGTGGCGCGTTAAAAAACAACTATATTATACAGGAAAATGTATTTTTCTAATGTATTTTAAAAAATTAAAATTTTTTTGATTTACCGTTCTCAAGGAGAAGACTGGCAATCCTGTAGTCCTTTTGCCCATCGTTTTCTCTGTAGCTGGATTCCATTGCCTTAAGTGATAAATGCAATGGTGTCTCGCCGTAAAAGTTCTTCACATTGACGTTCGCTCCTTTACGAATAAGAGCTTTGACCATTTCTTCGTTTTGATGACGAGAAGCTCGATGCAGGTCTAATTCGCCCATCCTATCATCAATACTGACACCAATCTTGTGCAAAACCTCAAAAAGAATACACGTTTTTTTTTCCTGATTTTGGTGAAAACGTTCGTGCTTATCCCATTCTGCATAGTACAGTAGAGCCTTGAGCGAGAATTCACTGTGAATATACAATACGTCAGCACGTCTCAGAATATACCTGATGAAGTGCTTGTGCTTTAATGTCCATCGATTAATATTTAGTTGACATATACTTAGTAGACTTCTAAAGATGTCGCTGCTTTTTGCACTGTGAGTAATAAATATCAATGAAACAAATTCTTTTTTTTATCAATGGTAATAGAAGTGGATCGTGTACGACATTTTATCATTAAAATATGTTATAAATAAAATTTGTTTGTATACAAATACGTATTTAAAACTATGGGATTAGACTTGTTAACTTATATGGACACTTGAGTAAAACTATTTTTCGTTCTTCTGAAAATTAAAATTCATGCAACATCTTATCGTTCATTCCATCGTATGGAATATTAGTTTATCAATTGCTCTCAAACTAAATTGTTAAAAATACTCTTTCTTGTAGTATTAAATAATTAAGGAATATTTTACAATAAGCATTTTTTGTTGAGCATCTACAGCAAAAATTATGTTATACCGTTTTGTTTATCTGTCTGTCAAGTGATTAATTCTTCAAAAATATAGCACATGCAAAAATCAACGAAAAACACATCAAGAAAAACCGTCAATGTAGTTTTACGAAAAATTCTATTAAGTTATGTTAAAACATGAATATTTTTTTTTAATGAAAACAACATTTCTTATTAGAGGATCAATAAGACGAACGTTCTCGTTATTTATTCTGGTTACCCTTCCTCCTTCCCAGTTCTTAAAATATTCAAAAACTATTTCAAGTACAGTCAGAAAAAGAGTTTCATCACACTTCAAGTAGAGAATGTACCATATACTTAAGTGTACAAAAGCATCTGAAAAAAGTCTGAACTCATCTTATGTTTACTTATATTTCACTATTATAAAAATGCTAGAAATGTATCTACATAACCACAAACATTAGGTACATACAATGTATACGTTGAAAATGAATATATTATTACATAGTATTAGGCTAGGCTACTTCGGTTATTTTGGCAGTACACCTCCGACCTACTGTTTTCCCCTCAACTCTGCCACCGTAGGCCCACCTCCGGTTGCCTATTCAGAGGGCTTCCCGAACTCGTTCGTTAGCCACCTTAGATTTCTAATTAGGCAGTGGTGTAAATGTCTTAAACACAATCTAAAATCTGCAGTTCTATTCTGTTCTGGATAGAGTCCTGAGGCTTCGTTCATACGTACTAGAAATAAGATCTTGCAGACTAAGATTGACCAGAATAAGATTTTTTTTTCTGCCGAGAAGAACCTCACTTACACTCCTCCATTGGTTTATGGGCATATTCTAATTCATCTAGGTTCTTTTCCGCGTAAGTAAAAAAAACTTACTCTCTTTCTCGCTCTCTATAATTTTATAACTTTTTACGGTTCTACATTGCGCATTCCGCACACCACGTAAGGGCACCGTCACATGGAGCAGAAATTCCGTCTGCGGAACCTATTTGAGCTCTTGAAAGTGAGTATGACAGAGAGAGATTTACGGAAAAGATCTCTAACACTCTTATGAGCTGAAATGGATCCCATATACAGATTCTGTGTTACATGTGATTTTTGTTATACTTCATTTTAGTGAAGAGTTATGTAGGAATTAAAGTAGTGCTATTTAGCCGATTTTATAAACCAGCCACAATCTAGACCAACAGATAGAAAATAAAAATTTATTCCCGAGAAGTATCATTTACAAAAAGATTTTAATTTATCTTCTACCCTGATATTGATTATAATGAAGGGGGAAATGACCACTTATCTAACGTTAATCGTATCTTGCGTGGGAGGTTATTTTTTTAAGGTCGATTTTTGAGTAGAAAATAATATTTTATTTTGCCTCTAATAACTCTGTTGAGAGATAACATTTTCTTTTCTATCTGTTACTTCCGGTTTTTTTTATTTTTTTATTTTACAACCGTTTCTGAGAACTGTGCCCAGTAGGCTCTGCAATGCTGTGTTATCATGCATATATGATTGCTATTGTCATTGGCAGGGTGAAAAACTGCCTCAGATATAATTGTGATAATATCAATCACTTACACAGCAAAAGGGTCCCTTATTTCACATGGCTTCTAAACCATCGGACCACAGTTGGAAATACGAACATGAGAAAGTAGACTCTCAGATGTGCAAGCTAAGTAAGTAAAGGCTGTGGGTCTTAAACGCGTGAGCATGCATTACCAATCCTCCCCAAGCTATAAGAACCGCATCCTGAACCACTGGGCTACCGGAGCCAGTGTTGGTCTAGGTTGCGGCTGGTTAATAAAATCAGCCACATGGTACTAATCCAATTACCAATAACTCATCACTAGAATGAAATATAACAAAAGTACTTCGGATCTCCACAAATCAAGAGGTTTCTCAATCTTTATAAGTGTTACAGCTGGTTTTAATTTTTGACGACCCTCGGTCTTCAGCTCTAGGTGTATAATACTTTAGTGGTGACATTATTTTCATGCTGAGGTTATGTTACACTCGAGTTAAGGTCAACGATAAAGCTTGAGTTTTACCGCAATAGTTAGAAAAAAAGCATAAAACAGTTATATCTAGAACTTATAATGTAAAAAAAAAAACCTTTTCCATTCTTAATATTCGATAGAATTTGTGTACTAGTTCTGTCCTCGCAGGTAAGTATAGCAATACAAATAACTAAGTTTTGCATTCTTACAGTATATCAGCATTAAGTATTGCAATTATTCAATACATAATTTGTAAGATTCCTACATCTGCACCGTCAACTGTAGAGAGACTTAATAAAATTTTTAAAGTAAACGAGTAAAAAGTTACCAAGTAGAACTTTAAATGTTATGGCTGGTACTCAAAAAAGTCATTGCTTTATACACCAACTATAGTAACTTTGAGTGCAACTAAAATATTTTTCACTCAACCATTGCCTATTAATACTGTGTATAATAGAATATTTTTATACTTACAAAATCACAGCATGTATTTGACACCCGTATTAGTATCCACAGCAGCACCTCTGGCAACACTGAAGAGTTACGTGAAAAGTGTTGAGAGACTTGAGCACTTGAGACGCATATTATACACACATATCGTTCGTTCAACCTTTAACAGATGTTTGTCGAGCATGCACTTCACAAATACAGAAGATACCATATTTATATTGTGGTTTACTTGTTTCACTCTGTTCGGTATATATTTTAATTTTTATATTTGATCGTTCCACCAGTAGGTGGCGATAGCGTGCTAACTTAAAAAATGCGCTAAAATTCAAAAACCTTATACTTTGAAGTTATTGTAAAGAAATTTATATTTTAACCTTTATTCAACTGATTATCCGATGGATAGTTGTGTTTAACTATTATATATTTAGAAAATTACAAGTAAAATATTTTTAACATACTAAAAATTTTTCATTACAATTTTATTTCATGAAAATTTAGTGAAAAGTTAGATATCTTACTTTATTTTTAACTTTCACTTGAATACATCGAATGATCGAATAAAGGAAATATGTAATGAATATGTTTACTTAGGATTGTAATAAATATATTTAGGAATCTTAGTTTTTTCTACTACTCTACTAATATGTAATCGTATAAATTTGTTGGTTAAAATAATTATCATACGTGATTTTGCGAAAATGTGCCGTTTTGCAAAAGTTATACATGGTGAAGCGCCGTACGATCCTCTTTGATCACCTTTCGTATGCAATAGATCAATAAATCATTTGACCATGTTTTGATTATTATCTTTTAATAACAGTTATTTAGTCACACGACTTTTTTTAGATAAGCATCTTGATTGTTAGGTATTGTATTTTATTTACGTATTTTTTTCTTGAAAATAAATAGAGGAAAATACATATTTTCGTAAGACCTTATGTGGTGATTTCCAGCTTTTTATTATTTTATGCATTGAAAAATGCGACTTTGGTAAAAAATATTGAAGAAAGCAACAATGGTTCTAAATGGTTTTATCAATGACGTACTTGGATTTCATTTAGTTGATAATCAGTTTGTAAAAGTTATGAGCCTTATTTAGATTATACATTTATAAAAGTATTGACGAATTAGTGCTTCTTGAAAAGATTTCACGCGTATGAATTATAAACGTTTTAACACAAACGCTTACGAATATAATTATGTACACTAATTAAAAAAAAATTTTTTTTATCTCTAATTAAACGGATATGACTCCATTTCGCAGCCCATGACCATAGTTTAAGGAGTAATAAAAAAAAACGCATATGTTGACATAAAAATATTTGATAAATACCCTCTCATTGAAAAATATTGATACAAAAAATTATAGTACTATTAAAAAAAGCATCAAACTGGAAAATTGTATCAAAATAAATAGTCAATAATACTGATTATTATTATGACTGCAATATTAACATAAAACATAAATATAAATTATCTTTACAAACACATTTGATAATATCGTGGTTACTTCAATACTTATTTGTAACATTATAACAACGTATGTAAAATTATACCTTAATTGTTGAATTTCTGTCCTATTTTTTTCTTTTCTTAAATTACAACTGCATACATATTGCAAAAGCTTTTTGCAGTATTACGAAATATTATTTAAATTTGAATATGTGTGAACGTTTAATCTACAGATGTGAGTTACTTCTATAGCAAAATTGTAATTAAACAGTTAGGATTCATTGATGTTTAATAAATATATAAATAATGACAACATGTACCTGCGTTTGTGTATATAGGTGTGATACAACTCTGGCATTTAAGTATTTTTCATGATTATAAATGTATATGAAAATTTGAATTAATAAAATCTTTCGTGTCTGTGATTTTAAGGACGTTCGGTAGAGATAGCGGGGGGGAACCAATTGCGGGGCAAGGGGGAAGTAGCGATGAGTGAAGACTTGGCATCGTCGCGCGGGTCTCCAATGCGTGAGTGCGAGGTTCATGTACACACATATATACACACATCAGGTGGTATATATATTTGTAATGTATTTGTGCTAAAGATGTAAGTTTTTGATTTTTGTTCGTTATAACAATGTAATAAAAATGACAAAATAATTAACAATGATGTGCTTACGAAGATTCAAAAAACCGCTGATGAAAAAATATATTTACCTACCTTTTCCCCCATGTCGTCTATCATTCCGAAATCAGTTATAAAAAATCTTAGTCGAACTAAGGTTGATTTTAACGTAATTGTTGATATATTTATGGAAGGTGACACTAGTTTAAGATCGTTTTTATTAAATGAACAAAATCCTTTTATCAAAAGAGAAGATAATGTGAATAAAATTCTTGAATTTTTGTGTGCCTTGAAAAGTCTCATTAAAAGTGATATATTAAATAACTAAGAAAGACTCCAGTCTCTGCGATTACGACAAGCATGTGATTTTGTTATCTTGTGTAAAAAAATTGTATTGTATAAAAATTACAAATTAAAAATTTCATTAAGAAAAATAAATATGTGTTAATANTAATAAAACGATTGAATTCCATGTCGTTTACGTGGAAACTTAACATTTGATAGTGATCAATAAACTTAAAAATAAATATTTCCGAACAAAAAACTATTCCTTTTATTTCCATGTTACTAAAAGTTTATGAACATAAGCTTTCTTTCATTAAACACAAATTACAAAAAAAAAAATAAGAAAAATATTCATTGGTACATTCAACACAGACGTTTCTTCAAGTCAAACTATAGGTAAATTTTATTTTTGCTGAAGACCTAGAGTAAAAACTTCAAATGTTACCTTTATCATTGTAGATTCAACTCACCGGCTTCTAAGATTAATATGCTCTTGGTTTAAAATACGTATTTGTAAATTTATTTGAACAGTTTTGAAGAAAGATATTTTACATATTTTATGGATAATATTTAAGTAGCACCCTCAAACATATTATTCGTCCACTCTTGATCCATAAAACAAAAATAATTTATTTTACCCAAACGTGATGAGTTTCTTTGTAGAACCAACTTTGTAAAGTGAAATGGCTATGTCCAGTGGCAAGCGATAATTCATGTCAATAATATTGGGGTCTGCTTTGTGGATCAACAACATCTCCACAATCTTCCGAGATTTTTCTTGTGTTGCATAGTGCAAAGCTGTTTTATGATAAATGTCTCTAATATTGGGATCAGCTTTGTTTTCCAAAAGAAGCTTGACACCATTGATCTTCAAATTGAAACAGTTGAAAAATTTGATAAGACTCTCAGTTAATCAAAATTTTACCTGCTGCTTTCTGACTGCCACGTGAAGTGGAGTTTGAAGTGTATTGTACACTCCTCGTAAATTTAAATTAGCTCCATACTCGATAAGTAGCTCATAATGGGTAGTCTATCGTCAGCCTGAACTGAATTATATGTATTCATGTTATCGTATACTAGATGCAAAGGTGTTTCAAATTCAAAGTTCCAGTCATTTACGCACGAAGAGTCTCTAAAAAAATGATAAAGATCACGATGGAGAAAAAATTGTTTATTGTTACGATTTTTGTCATTGAAAAAATTACCTTTGCAAAATTTCATTAACCAGAGAAGTGTTTCCGAAACGAACTGCTTCGTGAAGACTACTCTCCATCATTATTAGTGCTTTTTGAAATTTCACTGAAAGAATTAGTATAAAGTATGAAAATTCAAAAACTAATATTTTTTAACCAAGCATTGATTCTATGTTAATTAATCATGACAACAGAAGCTCCTAATGTGAGATGTAAAGACTACCTACTCCACCATAACAATATTAATTATTGGTGCTAATGTGGATATCAAAATTAAAAATAACATTTTTTTTATTTTACTCATAACTTGTTTCATAAAATGTATTGTGTATTAAAAATAAAATCCTTTAATTTCGTTTTTGTCTGCTCTTTTTAAATTAAGTAAGTTCAAAATAGTTTTTCTTCTTTGTATTAAAATATAACATTCTTTTGCGACACTTTTCTTTACTACATTTAAAAAAATTCCATGATATACTACATAATATTCCCTGTCATGAGTTTGCCACTTCCTACTCGTTATTGGTTATCAAATTTAATTTCGTTCGTCTGAAAATTTGGGTCATTTTTAAAATAAACTATTATTAGTGTTCCAAGAAAAATGTAAATCGTTATGTAAATGTTTCATAAGATTATGTTGTAGTTTACAAAATAAACCTGAACCTTATTAAACGAGTAATAAAATGAAAGCTTATTTATTTTTAAGTGAGTAGTTTTTCTAGAGCTTCTAAGGCATCGTATTGTTTGAAAAGTTATAAATAAAAATTTCAATAAATGAGGGTATAGATCTACCTTGTGGTAAGACAAACTTTCACTAAATATATTCAAGAATTATTTCTTAATCTTTTGATTTCAAATTTAGCATAAACATTTTTGAAAAAAAAGTGAAACAGTGCTATACGATGAATTTTTTTAGTTTTCGAAAACTTGTATGAAATTAATGTGTATTAAAGTCATGACGTTTTACATACTTAAAGGCTTTTGGAACACTTTCAGCCCATAGAAAAAAAAATGGCTCTTCTACTGAGGGTGCAGTAAACTTTTAAATATTACGAGAAACACAATGAGATAAAAAAAAAGTTATTACGCTACAATCGACGAAAGTACGGTATTCATATAGTTAATTTACGAAAGTACGACACATATTGGATGAACAAGTCGGATGTCCTAGTACGTGGCCAAGTACAAATGGAATATGTCCCAGTGGCCAGAATTATAAGACCCAGTTTTCAGCCACTTTGTTTCTCTAAAGTAAAAGGCAACTTTGATAGTTAGAATTTCTAAGAAACCGTTTAACAAATAATTTTATTAAGAGATGAAATATACTTCAAACTTTTGACAAATACTGTATGTGTGTGAGTTGTACACAATATTTTTTCATATTTTTCATAACATTTTATTTCTGCTGTAGCAATTATTTTAAGGACAAACATCTAGGACAAAAAGTTACGTTCATACAGGACTTAGTACTACGTATACGTTTCGCTTCTTTAGCTTTTTGTATGATGCTTTTATAACATAATATACATATAGTATACAACGTATCTTAAACATACAGCATTCTGTACCATCGTGTTAAGTACGTCTGTATGTTTTGCCTCTTATGGTTGATAATACATCTTGTCATCATAATGTATACTTTTCATTAGTTAGTGTATGCGATGCATTCAATCAAAGTTTACTGGAATAAAACTAGAGAAGCATGGGACTACCAACGGTAGACTATATCTAGCGTACACAAGGATTGTGCATGATTTCGTTGTGCGAAAATTTTTGTACACAAAATATTGCCCATATGCTAATAAATAGCGATCACAAAGTATTTTATTCACAATTTTTCGTGCCCCGTATTTGTGCCCAAATTAATGGAGTTTCATTCACAAATAATATCTAATCTAAATAGCATGTGCACAAATTGTACGTTGATTTAGGTGCACATATTGTGTACATATAAATAATTATAAAATGTTTTGTGGTCTTCATACATAACAATTTGGACACGACAAAAATGTGCATAACCCTCGTGTGAATTGGACACAGTCTGCCCCAAGATAAAATAAATTAACTAAGATTAAACAATAATCAATACCATATTTTGACAAGTGCGAGAAATGCTTTGACCCATTGCACAACTTGATATTAGCATGCTAAAGTGTAATTAACTGATGTATAAAATGAATTAGTAAGTAAAGCGAGAACGGTTATGATTTACATATTTTTAGTTTCCTAAGATCTTGATCAGCAAATCCTTATAATCTGGTGGGCAAGACTTTAAATTTCAAGCTCAATACACAACTTGTTAAATTTAAAATTTTGGAGAGGCTAGAAACTATAGGGGCTTATACACAAGCTCTTACGACGACATCGTCTCAAAATGTTTGCTCTCAACAATAACTTCAAAAATTTTTGACAAACCTGTTGAAAAGTTTAGTATGATACTGGAAATAATAAATAACACGACATACGAAATTTGTATAGACCTAGCCATTCTGCTGATGGGATATCGTAATTTAAAGTTTGAAAGCAATACGTATAATACACCTGTATTGTGCAAATCAAAAGAAAATATTGTAAATAAATATTATTCTGTGACATTTTTTACACAATGTAACAACGACAATAACATTTTTTTTAAATATTAAAATTAAATTACTTTTTTAAGTTGACTGTACCATTACAACCCCCTTAACTTAAAAGTGTATACTTATTCTGAGCAATAGAGATCCTTAAAATGATTCTACTGAAAATACTATTACTAGTGTTGACACTATTAAGGACTATACATTTGAAATCGGTTATCTGCGCACAGTAACGTCAGTGGCCGTGTGCAAAATGTGTTATATAAAAACAGGGATGGTGACACTGATCAGAAGCTAGTTTGACGGACTAGAAGGCTCTCTTCGTTACCAAAGTACCGAAAGTGGGCTTACGGTGGCAGTATGAGGGGGTAAACGATACATCCAAGGTCGGCTGCTATAATAGTGAGAACCTACTTAACACAAAGCTTCTTTTGATGGCATATGCATATACCATTGCAAGTGAGATGTAATTTAAGTCAACAACAAAGAAAAAAAATTTCAGCACATGACATTTTTTTTATTTTTAATTAAAAGAAATAACTCTTTGTACTCAAAGGTAATCAAAACAATACATACGTTGACATAACTGTAAGTATTAATTATGAATATTTTTTTTTAATGAAAACAACATTTCTTATTAGAGGATCAATAAGACGAACGTTCTCGTTATTTATTCTGGTTACCCTTCCTCCTTCCCAGTTCTTAAAATATTCAAAAACTATTTCAAGTACAGTCAGAAAAAGAGTTTCATCACACTTCAAGTAGAGAATGTACCATATACTTAAGTGTACAAAAGCATCTGAAAAAAGTCTGAACTCATCTTATGTTTACTTATATTTCACTATTATAAAAATGCTAGAAATGTATCTACATAACCACAAACATTAGGTACATACAATGTATACGTTGAAAATGAATATATTATTACATAGTATTAGGCTAGGCTACTTCGGTTATTTTGGCAGTACACCTCCGACCTACTGTTTTCCCCTCAACTCTGCCACCGTAGGCCCACCTCCGGTTGCCTATTCAGAGGGCTTCCCGAACTCGTTCGTTAGCCACCTTAGATTTCTAATTAGGCAGTGGTGTAAATGTCTTAAACACAATCTAAAATCTGCAGTTCTATTCTGTTCTGGATAGAGTCCTGAGGCTTCGTTCATACGTACTAGAAATAAGATCTTGCAGACTAAGATTGACCAGAATAAGATTTTTTTTTCTGCCGAGAAGAACCTCACTTACACTCCTCCATTGGTTTATGGGCATATTCTAATTCATCTAGGTTCTTTTCCGCGTAAGTAAAAAAAACTTACTCTCTTTCTCGCTCTCTATAATTTTATAACTTTTTACGGTTCTACATTGCGCATTCCGCACACCACGTAAGGGCACCGTCACATGGAGCAGAAATTCCGTCTGCGGAACCTATTTGAGCTCTTGAAAGTGAGTATGACAGAGAGAGATTTACGGAAAAGATCTCTAACACTCTTATGAGCTGAAATGGATCCCATATACAGATTCTGTGTTACATGTGATTTTTGTTATACTTCATTTTAGTGAAGAGTTATGTAGGAATTAAAGTAGTGCTATTTAGCCGATTTTATAAACCAGCCACAATCTAGACCAACAGATAGAAAATAAAAATTTATTCCCGAGAAGTATCATTTACAAAAAGATTTTAATTTATCTTCTACCCTGATATTGATTATAATGAAGGGGGAAATGACCACTTATCTAACGTTAATCGTATCTTGCGTGGGAGGTTATTTTTTTAAGGTCGATTTTTGAGTAGAAAATAATATTTTATTTTGCCTCTAATAACTCTGTTGAGAGATAACATTTTCTTTTCTATCTGTTACTTCCGGTTTTTTTTATTTTTTTATTTTACAACCGTTTCTGAGAACTGTGCCCAGTAGGCTCTGCAATGCTGTGTTATCATGCATATATGATTGCTATTGTCATTGGCAGGGTGAAAAACTGCCTCAGATATAATTGTGATAATATCAATCACTTACACAGCAAAAGGGTCCCTTATTTCACATGGCTTCTAAACCATCGGACCACAGTTGGAAATACGAACATGAGAAAGTAGACTCTCAGATGTGCAAGCTAAGTAAGTAAAGGCTGTGGGTCTTAAACGCGTGAGCATGCATTACCAATCCTCCCCAAGCTATAAGAACCGCATCCTGAACCACTGGGCTACCGGAGCCAGTGTTGGTCTAGGTTGCGGCTGGTTAATAAAATCAGCCACATGGTACTAATCCAATTACCAATAACTCATCACTAGAATGAAATATAACAAAAGTACTTCGGATCTCCACAAATCAAGAGGTTTCTCAATCTTTATAAGTGTTACAGCTGGTTTTAATTTTTGACGACCCTCGGTCTTCAGCTCTAGGTGTATAATACTTTAGTGGTGACATTATTTTCATGCTGAGGTTATGTTACACTCGAGTTAAGGTCAACGATAAAGCTTGAGTTTTACCGCAATAGTTAGAAAAAAAGCATAAAACAGTTATATCTAGAACTTATAATGTAAAAAAAAAAACCTTTTCCATTCTTAATATTCGATAGAATTTGTGTACTAGTTCTGTCCTCGCAGGTAAGTATAGCAATACAAATAACTAAGTTTTGCATTCTTACAGTATATCAGCATTAAGTATTGCAATTATTCAATACATAATTTGTAAGATTCCTACATCTGCACCGTCAACTGTAGAGAGACTTAATAAAATTTTTAAAGTAAACGAGTAAAAAGTTACCAAGTAGAACTTTAAATGTTATGGCTGGTACTCAAAAAAGTCATTGCTTTATACACCAACTATAGTAACTTTGAGTGCAACTAAAATATTTTTCACTCAACCATTGCCTATTAATACTGTGTATAATAGAATATTTTTATACTTACAAAATCACAGCATGTATTTGACACCCGTATTAGTATCCACAGCAGCACCTCTGGCAACACTGAAGAGTTACGTGAAAAGTGTTGAGAGACTTGAGCACTTGAGACGCATATTATACACACATATCGTTCGTTCAACCTTTAACAGATGTTTGTCGAGCATGCACTTCACAAATACAGAAGATACCATATTTATATTGTGGTTTACTTGTTTCACTCTGTTCGGTATATATTTTAATTTTTATATTTGATCGTTCCACCAGTAGGTGGCGATAGCGTGCTAACTTAAAAAATGCGCTAAAATTCAAAAACCTTATACTTTGAAGTTATTGTAAAGAAATTTATATTTTAACCTTTATTCAACTGATTATCCGATGGATAGTTGTGTTTAACTATTATATATTTAGAAAATTACAAGTAAAATATTTTTAACATACTAAAAATTTTTCATTACAATTTTATTTCATGAAAATTTAGTGAAAAGTTAGATATCTTACTTTATTTTTAACTTTCACTTGAATACATCGAATGATCGAATAAAGGAAATATGTAATGAATATGTTTACTTAGGATTGTAATAAATATATTTAGGAATCTTAGTTTTTTCTACTACTCTACTAATATGTAATCGTATAAATTTGTTGGTTAAAATAATTATCATACGTGATTTTGCGAAAATGTGCCGTTTTGCAAAAGTTATACATGGTGAAGCGCCGTACGATCCTCTTTGATCACCTTTCGTATGCAATAGATCAATAAATCATTTGACCATGTTTTGATTATTATCTTTTAATAACAGTTATTTAGTCACACGACTTTTTTTAGATAAGCATCTTGATTGTTAGGTATTGTATTTTATTTACGTATTTTTTTCTTGAAAATAAATAGAGGAAAATACATATTTTCGTAAGACCTTATGTGGTGATTTCCAGCTTTTTATTATTTTATGCATTGAAAAATGCGACTTTGGTAAAAAATATTGAAGAAAGCAACAATGGTTCTAAATGGTTTTATCAATGACGTACTTGGATTTCATTTAGTTGATAATCAGTTTGTAAAAGTTATGAGCCTTATTTAGATTATACATTTATAAAAGTATTGACGAATTAGTGCTTCTTGAAAAGATTTCACGCGTATGAATTATAAACGTTTTAACACAAACGCTTACGAATATAATTATGTACACTAATTAAAAAAAAATTTTTTTTATCTCTAATTAAACGGATATGACTCCATTTCGCAGCCCATGACCATAGTTTAAGGAGTAATAAAAAAAAACGCATATGTTGACATAAAAATATTTGATAAATACCCTCTCATTGAAAAATATTGATACAAAAAATTATAGTACTATTAAAAAAAGCATCAAACTGGAAAATTGTATCAAAATAAATAGTCAATAATACTGATTATTATTATGACTGCAATATTAACATAAAACATAAATATAAATTATCTTTACAAACACATTTGATAATATCGTGGTTACTTCAATACTTATTTGTAACATTATAACAACGTATGTAAAATTATACCTTAATTGTTGAATTTCTGTCCTATTTTTTTCTTTTCTTAAATTACAACTGCATACATATTGCAAAAGCTTTTTGCAGTATTACGAAATATTATTTAAATTTGAATATGTGTGAACGTTTAATCTACAGATGTGAGTTACTTCTATAGCAAAATTGTAATTAAACAGTTAGGATTCATTGATGTTTAATAAATATATAAATAATGACAACATGTACCTGCGTTTGTGTATATAGGTGTGATACAACTCTGGCATTTAAGTATTTTTCATGATTATAAATGTATATGAAAATTTGAATTAATAAAATCTTTCGTGTCTGTGATTTTAAGGACGTTCGGTAGAGATAGCGGGGGGGAACCAATTGCGGGGCAAGGGGGAAGTAGCGATGAGTGAAGACTTGGCATCGTCGCGCGGGTCTCCAATGCGTGAGTGCGAGGTTCATGTACACACATATATACACACATCAGGTGGTATATATATTTGTAATGTATTTGTGCTAAAGATGTAAGTTTTTGATTTTTGTTCGTTATAACAATGTAATAAAAATGACAAAATAATTAACAATGATGTGCTTACGAAGATTCAAAAAACCGCTGATGAAAAAATATATTTACCTACCTTTTCCCCCATGTCGTCTATCATTCCGAAATCAGTTATAAAAAATCTTAGTCGAACTAAGGTTGATTTTAACGTAATTGTTGATATATTTATGGAAGGTGACACTAGTTTAAGATCGTTTTTATTAAATGAACAAAATCCTTTTATCAAAAGAGAAGATAATGTGAATAAAATTCTTGAATTTTTGTGTGCCTTGAAAAGTCTCATTAAAAGTGATATATTAAATAACTAAGAAAGACTCCAGTCTCTGCGATTACGACAAGCATGTGATTTTGTTATCTTGTGTAAAAAAATTGTATTGTATAAAAATTACAAATTAAAAATTTCATTAAGAAAAATAAATATGTGTTATTATAGTACATTGTTTTGTTATGGGTAAGGGTGGAACCTATGTACATACACTCACACACATATATATAAGCTTATGTTTTATACAGGAATACATAAATATCTACCATAATATTCAAATATTTACTGATTTACGTCTTGAAACATTTTGAATTTCCTGCTTCTTGTGACGTTGCCGTTGCGTTTTTGTCGAACTATTATTTAATTATTTTATTTATAGACTAATAAGACGATCATCGCTAAACTTTGTGTACATATATTTAATAACATTATCTGTGACATATAAAAAAATTAGAAACATTCATTAAGACAATTTTTTTTAAACTGAGTTTTTATAAGTTTTCGCATAAGCGACCGTGTTGAAATGACTGAACTTTGATATTCAATATCTCGGAAACAAAACAGACGAACCTCCCGAAATTTCAACAGCTTCATTTTAACAACAATAAGAACGTCTGGTTAAAATTTTAAAAAGATTTATTACAGGGTTCTATCTCTACCGAACGTCCTTAAAAGATTTACTTTTTATTCATCACGTGATTGGTTTTAGACAGGTTGGATAGATCGTTTGGAGAAAATTTTTAAAAATCCATCGGTTTAAATTATAGTAACATATAAAATAAAGTTCCCAGTATAAAAATAACCTTAAGTAATAATGTTTTATTTTACGATCATTTAAAAAAAAGAAAAAAAGAAACTTTTAAAATTGTGTTGGATGAAAAATGTTTGAAAAGTTAACGTGAACTTAAAATGTAAATAATTGTATTTCATAATTTAAAAATGTGCTTTATGCGTAATGTATACATTTTTTATGAGAGGAAGGGTTATATATAAAATACATCCTTTGATGATAAAAATTTGAGAGTACCAGCTGTAAAGTACGCCAAACAATGTCAACAATTTTTTTTAACAGTATAGAGTACCTGTATCCAATAATAAAATATAAAAACCCTCTTAAGTAATGATAAAAATAGTAAAAGTAGTGTCGATTTCGCGAAGTGCACCTAACATTAGAGTAACAACTCTAAATTTCCTATTTTCCTGTGTTTTCAATTATTAAAATTCAAAGCTGACAACTTAAAACTTTTTTTAATTTCTTCATACGTAAAAATTTGTCTTAAATTATCTAAGTTGTTAAATACATGAGTGCAATTTTAAAAGTACAATTGTAAAAATTCAGACTAAGTTATTATAGATATCAAAATTTGCGGTTATATTTTTTTTTTAAGTGCTAAATGATCCATTTTTGACGTTAATTAATATCATACGTAAGAAATATTTTTTTTGCAACTTGCAATCGTAACTTAAATATTTATAATATAAACGTTGTTGTATCTAATATTTCCTGATGCAATCAGATATATTTATTTATCAGTAATAGAGAATGAGCAGCAATTTCTCAGATGTGTAAGAATAAACTTTTATTCACTGCTATGATTGCAACTCGTACAATAACTCGACTTTTTTTCTATAGATATAAGACAATTTCTCAAATTTCTGTTCAATAAAGGTGTAATAACATGGTACGTCATCGATGATCTCGTCGTTGGTAAGTTTAGCTACTTTTTCTATTCAGTATCCAGTTAACGACGCGTATTTTGAAATCACCTTTGTATAAGCCTACATCACAATGATCAAACTCTAATACTTTAGCACTTGAAAGCTAAACCCTGTGAATATCTCCATGAAATTTGAATAAATTTTTTAATACATTGTATTATGATTTGTAATAATTAACGTTGAAACATGTCATCAGATTCTGCTTGTGCATCGTTTATGTTTGCTACTTCCAGATAAGAAAAACAAGTTAGACATATCATTTTTTTAAATTTGATAAAATCTACAATCTCATGAACGTTATGAAAAACGTCTTGTACGTTAGAAATGGCCTTTTTTGTAATAATTGATTAAAATAGTTGTCAAAAATGACCCTACAAGATTATATATAGTAATTCTCAAAGTTTCTTAAAAAATAATATTTTCTCAAAAAGTTTAGTTCTGCAATCATGTACACTCTTGTTAAGTTTCGAGCGACAGATTTTACTTATTATGAACTGTTAAAATTTAAGAACGATTTAACACGAGTCGCATATAGGACTAGCTAGTGGAATCCTTACATTCACATAATTAATAAAAAAATTTTGTGGTTAATACATGAAAACTAAGTGTTTTTTTTCCTGATGCCTTTGTTGTAATAACTGTTGATTGATTGACTGTGTCCTACTGTAAACTTTTTATTTTTATTTCATATGACATGTTTCAAACGTATGTAAATAGTGACGCAATTGTCTTCAAATTTTAAGGTTTCAAGAAAATTTGGAAACATTTAACGTGATCTGTGTGTACTTTTTTTTAGAATATGTTGATCTACAGTCAAGTTTATAAAGAACAATTACATATAAAGTTTATGAATTTATTGTAACATGTATTAAAAACAAACAAACGTAGATTAGCTAGTATCCACAAAGTCGTGAAATACTTGATGGAATCATTCAAGGAGTAAAATAGCTTTGGAACATTCAATCCAAGCAAAAACTTCAATGAAGATTGTACGGTTTAAATCAACATACACCTTTGCAGTAAATTGTTTAGTGTTTCATGCTACATACTGAAAAATATTTTTCCAAAAAAACATCGTAATTCGAAATTTGACACAAGTATTGGACAAGTATTCCAAATTACAAAATTTATAGTATAGTACCATCCTATGTAATGAACCCCATAGAGATTAGCACTTCACAGCTCATCCTAAGAATCCAAACACACACGATTTTATCAAATTTCAAAGCGCTAAAAAAAACTTTAAAAAAATAAAATAAAAAAAACAAACATTGTCGGTAAAACAGTAAGAGAAATACATATTCATTTAGAAAACATTCAAGCTCATCTTTGTGTACACATAACAGTCCGATAACGCCCCGTAAAACGTACCGCTCTCATTACATCACAATTACATCACACCACTCGAAAAAAAAAAAAAAAAAAAAAAAAAAAAAAAAAAAAAAAAAAAAAAAAAAAAAAAAAAAAACCAACAACACCGTTGTACAAAAATTAAAAGCGAGAAAAAGCGGGAGTTAAAAATCACCTCCTCCAACGGGACGCGCATCGCGATCATTCACTCGTTATCGGTGCCCCGGTGATAATCATCATTATGATTATTATTCTTACACCTGGCCGTGGCGAACTCATGAGCGCGACGAGACCACCTGCGCGCTCGCCTCAGATAACGACGGGCCGTCGCGGACGACGCTGGGTACATCGGTTTTTCCTCCCGATTTTCACTTTCATTCTCGTTTTTTTGGCCGAGGACTACAATCCATCCTCCCCTCGCGTGTGAATATGGTGTGCAGTCGCGAGCGTTGAAGTTTAATTTGTTTTTTTTTTTTCCTCCTTGGCCCAATATACTGAAAGTGAAGTGGTCGAGTGTACGTGTAATACGCACTGCGTATGCTGCTCACGTGCCGGTTCGCATCAAGGTAAGAAGCGGAAGATCATTCGGCACGTTCGACACTATATGTAGACATACGTCACCATCCGACGGTTACAAACTTTTGATAAATACCCGATGACGAATTGTTCCTTTTTTTCTCTTTCTCTCTCTCTCTCTCTCTGCACATACTATTATTCATTTTGTTGGAACAGCGCTATTTTTGCACGCTCACGTAATTACGAGATCCTTGGCGAACAATACCTTTATTGTTATTATTATTATTTTTTTTCATGAAACTGCTGGTCAATTGGTTTTTCCTCTTCCACGACTGACAAACAAACCACTTGGCCGCGTATATCTACGGAAAGAGAGAGAGAAAAGTCGCATTAATGTGCCCTTATCTGCGGGAGATATCAATGTGACTATGTAATCGCTGGGCGTATGCGTATTGTGCTCGTTATCGTGTAAAACTGTTTCGACCACAGCGGCACCGTGTGTGACGACACCGTAGCCTGGGTCGTTTAAATGCCTTTTCCACTTTATCTCGACGCTCGGTTCTTCGAGCCTTTCGTGATAACGTGTACGTGCTCGGTTACCCACTTTCCTGTATTATACTACACGAATTTGTTATTTATACACACGCTCCATAAAAATAATACACGACCGATGATGTCACACGATTTTTCGTTTCCGCGTTGTGTTCCTTGGAAGACAATATTATTAATTCAGTAAACTCGACGGCAGAAGTGATTTTTCGTACAATTTTACTTCCACTATGCATGTACCGCACTCACGCGCGTGATGCAAGAGCGTATCAAGTTTTTATCTTGAAATTCCTTATTAATATATACGAGATAAGGAATACACACGTACGCGCGCTTGCACGGTTTTTGCTCTTTATTAAAAAAATTATTCAAGTGGGAACGACGTACAATTAAAGTTTCGATTGGCTCCGCAAAAAAAAATCGTGTGTGAAGGGATTTCTTCCTAATTAATGCACGTGTCTCGTAACCCTTGGATTGCACCATGGATAAAACGCAACCACACGAGTAAAAACCTATAAATAAGCCCAATAACCCTGTTTGGCTGAAAATAAAAATAATTCTTTTTCAAAAATACGACAAAAACTGCGACACCTTGCTCACGTCATCGGCATATGCGCATTGTACGAAGCTTACAGCGAGAGAGTGACATACGGCCAAGAAATTAATAGGCCTTACGTAACGTGCAACATCCTCGCACTCGCACACATACACACATACGCTCAGTAACAAACAAGAGGAGCAGTGTATAATACACCACATCGGCGTTCTCTCTTGCTCCTCCGCTCTCTTTCTCGCAAACCATTGTATTTGGTGCAAAATCCACGCGCTTGTGTGAGAGCATCCGAGGCTTCCTTTTCCCAGGACTATACTCTGCTCGCAGTTCCTTTTTCACTCGTCAAACTTGACGCATCGCGGACACTTCTTACAATACACTCGAGACCAACCTTTTCTTTTGCGTTCAGTTAAAATTTTTGTTTTGATGTAAATTACATTCTGGGGCACGATTATTTTGTAGAATCTCAAAAACTTTTTTATCCGAAAATGCGATGCATGCTTTTTCTGAGAATTTTTTATCATCCTCTGAATTACGGTATTTAACCAAAATTTAATTGAACAAATACATATATTTGTTTTTTTAAATATTTAAAGAAATTTTTAGAAACTATTTTTTACTTCCTTAGTATTTTGTGGTTTGTACTGGTTTTTTTTTTTTCTACTTTGATATACACACCGCACTATTTCTGCAGGAAAAACGTACTGTTGTGGTATGAAGTAGTAAAATAAAGATTCTACTACAAATAAAAATTATCTGTCAAAAAGCAAATGTAACTCAACAGCAATGAGTCCCAACACAATTAATAAATCGAAAAATTTCAAAGAAATAATCAACATAGAAAGGCTGTATGCTCCCGTCTTCAGCATGAAATTTCATAAGCGTATCGAAATTGAGATTATGGATCCTTATAAAATTGACCATAATAAGGCCATTATATTAAAAAAGAATTATATTCAATAGGTGGATTAATCAATAATTAATTCTGTACAAGTATCACTGATAGATAACATTTTTTGAAAACGTTGTATGTCTTGAAAAATAATGTAAAAACGTATGCATAAGTTACGTAGTTATAAAAAAATACATTATGAATAAAACCTTTTAAACAGTAACTGACACTGAAAATTTCGACGTGCGACGTTTTTCCTTAAAGTTATTTCATGTGAAGTACAATTGGTACGATTTTTGTTATACGTTTCTTTTTTTTTCTGGATCATAAATATCATACGCCGCCCATTTTTGTTACGTACGGTGTTTATAGGCGGTAATAACTGTGTTTCAAACATGCAATACTGTCGTGCATTATATTAATTTACTACAATTATATGGAAAAAAAATAGCTGTGATGTGAAATTTAAAAAATAAAGCGGGGAAGCAGCATTTGAAAGAATTCATACGCTAATAAAAATAAACATTTTTTTTTTACTCTCAGTACGGTAGAGTTAGCTAAAAATTAAATCAATATCCTGAAAATTATGATTAGCTCGAAAAAACAGGGTAGTAGTTTTGATGCATAGAAACAAATTGACACATATTGTAACAAGTAGAAATATCAGCAAGAGCCCCACAAAAAATGGCAAAAATGGCCAAAACATGTTTTTCACGTCTAGGAGTAAGCCACAGAATAGCACATGAAAAAGTGTTTGGAGAAAAAGATGTGCAATTTCAAGTCAAACAAAATGAGCCACGTTGGGCGTAAATCAGTTCCGCCGTTTATTCGTTAATGGCAAAAAACTGCCATTTTGAGTAATTTTTTCAAAACTCTATAACTCGCGCTCTATACAATACTGAAAGCTAAAAAATCACAAGGCAGATATAAAAGTCCTTAAAATACACACAAAATTTTTGCTTGATCGCATTGAAACTTTCGCGAACCGTAGCAAAACCTAGAAATGGTCCTCTCGAAAAATAGCCATAAAAAAGTTGTAAGCCAACAGAGGTACATTTTTTTAACGTATTTTGCTTCATCTATACTTACTCTACAACTACCTGCAACGCCATTTATTTTTATCTATAAGAAGTATCTTAAAAATTGATTGCAAAAAAAGCACTTTTCATTTTGAACGCGCTCGATTAAAACATGCGTGCGCAGCGTTGGCTCTCCAAGCCACCGATTCCCCTTACCGGAGAGCAAAAAGCCATTTTTGGCAATCGATATTTCAGGTGCTTTTAATTAGTAAAAATGAATGGCATTTTAGGTAGTTGTAGAGTAAATATAGACGAATCGGAATTTGTACGAAAAATGTACCTATGTTCGCTAACAATTTATTTATGGTCATTTTTCGAGAGGACCTTTTCTTGGTTTTTGCTACGGTTCGCTCAAGTTTGAGATGGATCAAGCTGAAATTTTGTGCGTATTTTAAGGACTATGATATCTGCTTTGTAATCAAATTTCAGCTCTAAATATTGTGTAGAACGCTAGTTATTGAGTTTCAAAAAAATGACTCAAAATGGCAGTTTTCTACCATTTACGAATAAAAGGCTGAACAAAGTTGAGCCCAACGTGGCTCATTTTGTTCGACTTCAAATAGCACACTTTTTTCACAACACATTTTTTTATGTGCGATTTTGTGGTTTTCTTATAGACGCGAAAAACGTGTTCTGGCCATTTTTGCCATTTTTTGTGGGGCTCTTGCTGATATTTCTACTTGTTCAATTCTATGTAAATTTGTTACCATGTATTAAAACTACTACTCTATTTTTTTTAATCTTGTCAGAATGTTCTGGGCCGCAAAATTAATTCTACCATACATCGTCAAGAAATATTGACTCAATGTTAACTCAAAAATATCTCAATTTGAGTTACAAGTAAGATAAGATATTTCATGCTCAGGACGGTAGTATGGCTTATTTAACATTTCTGTCACATTTATTAAATCTACACAGTGTTTTACTTTTTTTTCCCTCCCGATGTAGTGCAATTCATTTTATCAAATTATACTTGTGATTACAAAGAAATACGTCACGTGTATGCTTCTAAGACCTCGAACAAGTAACGCAAAAGTTTTGGTCCAATTTTGTTTACAACGTCTCACTAATTTTGTTTTTGAAAGTAAATTGTACCGAAAGAGATGCACGTGTAACGCGTTGTAGTATTTATTAAAATTTCGAAAAATACAAAAATAGCTCGTTGCACATTCTTAACGAATGATGTGTTGACATTTAAGATCGTGACAAAAAAGAAAACTATGTAAAAAAAACATGTACTTCAATACACCTGTTTCAGGAAGAAAAAATAAAGAAAGAAACGATTCACACGAACGGTAATACTTTATAATTATTATTACCCGACAGTTTGGCTGAATGATAAAAGACATCTCACTCTCCAACGCCAAGAAAGCGCAGAGGTTAAAAAAAAATTCCACCAGACGGTGATAAATCAGGAACAAGAAAGAATAATTGAAAATGGGCGAGGCGAACGGACCAACAAAGCCAATTCTCTTCTCCATAGGATCCTACAAAGTTGGTTCAAGCTTATTTACTATCAAACATAACCTAACACATCTAAACATTGCCCCAGCACTTTACAAAATGCACATGTAAAAGTAAAAGTGTAACTTTTTCTCTTTCGACAGGAGGAGAAAAAGAAGATCAACAAAATAACCCCAGCCAAGCATTTTTCGGTGCCCAACAGCGTGCCCCCGAGCCCAACGCACTACAAACCTCGCAGACTGACCCTAAGAGACCGGCCAGTGTCCCTCGACATTACCGACGCACCTCCGTTCAAGAGTCTGCAGCAGCAGTCGTCGCACAAGCTTACCTTTCAAAATGGTAGCCGAGTCACGAGTCCCGACGAGATCGACAAACCAGCCTGTCCACCCTCGGTGCACAATGGCAATGGGTGCCCCGTTGTACCAGAGCACCTGGAGATGCTCGAAAAACCAGCCCATCCACCCAAGCTCTACACAAGGTTGGTTGTAATGTCGTAGGTAGAAAAGTGCCATTTTTGTTTTCATGACTGGGTGACACCTTTCATATCGTCACGTCCTAAAATTTTAAAAATACGTCACGCTGAATGTTATAATGGGTGACATTAATTGTCAGTGACGCTTATATGGAATTTCAACCTCTGCACTTTCTGAGTAACTTTATGAAAATTGCACTTTTTTCATTTCATTTTAAAAAATGATTATCAATCAACTCAACAGAAAAATATACATACGAGGTCACAAATTGTAAATACTTGCGTATATGTAGGTCATATTCACTGGAACATGATCAGTTAAGGCACTCGGGCAAGGTCGCCTTGACGATCGCTGCCTACGAGGGCGAATGCAGGACACCCACGCGCATGAGTTTTTTGCCACCCCAGTCACGATTATCGCGATCAAGCTCGAAAGCGAGCGATATTATCATATTGGAGGAAACGGACTGTACGGATGGGCCAATTTTGAATCAATTGCAGACCGAACTTGTTGCGACCCTGAAGAGATCAAACTTGAAGAAAAGGCACGATTCCTTCGTAAGTATACGATATGTACAAGTACTTACGCATACTACATTGTCTAGGTACAGAAAGGATATGGTAAACGTTTCAATCTCGTCGAATATTTCCATAGATAAAATTTGAATTGAATTGAAAATATGGTGGGAACTAAAAATTAGTAAAATAGGTCTGTTGGAGAATAATCATCACGACAGTCATTTGTGTTGAAAATGGTTTCATGAGATAAAAAACTTCGTGAGCAGGAAATGAGTCAAGTGTGGAATAGTTGTAATTTTTTTTTTTTTTGTCTTATCATAAAATACAACTTAACTTGATGTATGGTATCTCGGTTATAAATGCATTACTTATGTTATTCATGGATTATTCGTCAAAAATTTCGGTGTAATTTTCAAGTTAAAATTTACATGGTTAAGAAAAAATTATCAAAAGCATTTCGTTATCAAAGATAGCAATGCGATTGTTTTATTCCAAAGTCTTAAAGTAAAGTATAAAGCATTCATTCTAAGTTTATTGTTAAAATAAATTTAAAAACTAGAAAATGCACACTAGTAGTGTATATTTTATGATCTATTCTACATTCACGAATTTTTTTTTCTTTTTCCTGGATGCATTAAGTGAAAAAATATCTCTATCCCACATGAAGGCTCAGATGTAACTTTTGAAACACTTTATTTTCTCTCTATTCAATTTAATCATTAATATTACAAAAATAAACTTTCGTATTCTTATTTAAAATTCACGAAATCTCCGAATATTACAGATAGTCAAGTTTTTCGATATACTTGTGATCTTCCCCGACTATGTATAAATATTTTGTCAACTTTAGATCAGAGGTGATACGTTACAATGATCGTAAAAATACATTTAATTGCAGACGAACGAAACCACAGCTGATGAGTCTAAAGTCAATGATGAGCCAAAGGCTGATATCGTGAAAAATGACGAGAAAACGATAACAGAAGAGGACAAGAGCATTAGCGGTGATGCTGAAAATATGAACATCAACGTCAAACAATTAACGACGGAACTTGGCAAAACATTGACGTTTAAATTGAACCCTGATGAATCCTAGAATAATCTTGCACTGTCACGCTGGATAATTCATGCAATATACCGGATACCATTTAAATTCCTACACTATGTAATTATTATATTATTTGTCTTTGTTCCTTTTACGATCGATAGTAACTGCTGGAGGATTTTTTCCTTCGTTTATTATGCCGATGTGTTAGTTTACGATTTTTTAAATTGAGTACCTTTTTATTGAGGTACATTCTATTTGTTGTATATTACCTAATTGAGATGTCAAATTATTTTGTTATCAAAAGTGTACATATGATTGTTACCTTCGTTATTAGAAATGAGACTAAGTGTTAGGAAATGTTCGTTATTGTTTATATATAACGCCACGCAACTTATTCGCACCGATTAAACTGTGCAAATTTCATTATGAATGGATGTCCTTTGAAATACAAAGGTAATAATTTTAAATATTATAAAGTGATTATGTTATANATAATATTGAAAAAATTATGCAGTAAAATACTAACTTAAAAACTTCAGTAACGCTGAACAAAAAATTATTCATAGAAGTCTTAGGATACTCAGATACCTGTGCAACACGTTGTATGAAACCTCCAGAACACCGTTGCGTGATATCTAATAGGCTGTGCATTCGCATGAAACTGCTCCTCTTAAGTTTACAATCAATATTTGTTACTTTTAGATCTGGAAAATATAAATGAATTATCTGAGAACTTATATATTTTTGTGTAATTTTGCTAGGTGTCTTATATTCTACTATCTGCATTAGATTTATATGTGCAGAAAAAAAGATTTTGTAGAATAGTTTTGGATAATATTATAAACAAACAATTTTCGCACAACTTTAAATAAACTGCCTGAAACAAACTACTCAAATTAACTTGTCCATTTCAAAGTACGAAAACAATGAATGAAAAAAAAGTAATAAATTTACTCGTAATAATTGATGAAATTCACTTACCATCAAATTGCAGCATTTTGCGTCTACGCTCTTCACAACATCTTATAAATATACGTAGATATTCTTGCGCATAAAATGTCCGTTCACGTGCTGCTGCATAAAAATCTTCTCCCAAACGTGATAAAATCAAGAAAAGCATGGAAGACAAGGTCTTAGTATTGTGAATGAAAATCAAGGTGAAAGGGCTATATAACTTTAATCATTATTTGAATATAATGAAACGTTGTTCGTCAGTAAAAAATCAAAACTGTTTCGGCCATTTTCAATTACCGATGATTAACACTGTGGAATGATTTACTTATCTAAAAATAAGCGAAACATTTTAATACACTTTGGGATAGGTATTAGTTACAATAAATAGTAATTTCAATAAAATGTTTATTATTTTTATCAATCATACTTAATGTTACAGTAATGTTTTATTTTTTAATATTTTCTTCCACTCACTACAATATGATTTTTGCATAACATAATAACAACGAATTAAACTTATAGCTATTTTAACAGCAATTTGAACAATGTTTGCGTATAAAATTATATATGTTACAATTTGGCGTTATAGGATACCACGAATCTGTAATTTCATTGATAATATTGTTACAATAGTATTTACATACATTTACATATTAAATACAGCCCCAAAACGTAGACATAGCTGTAAAATAAGTATTTAAAATTGAATAGTACATTTTAGACTTTTTTCTGAAACAGTGCTTTTGATAATCTATCAAGAGCCTCGAGCTTTTTTCTTTGTATTTAATCGTTTCTTCTATTAGTAGCTGTCGTTTAACGATTTTATTTTCCTAATACTGTTTTTTCAAGGCGTCCAAAGATAAGTTTTCTTTTTCAGGAATTTGATAAGGCAACTTTGATCAAGCCACAGACAATGGCCTTAATACACCAATTCAAAAAAAAACTCGTCTAATTGCTCCAAAAACATCTATGATGTAGATGTTTACTGATTTCTTATACAATATTGAACTAGCAATCAACATTACCTCATAAAATCCACAAGTTTGTTTATTACTTTTTGACTTTGCGTTATGATCCTTCACTCCATTTTATTTTTTTCAAGGTTGTCCATTTTAACATACTGACATTCACTTGCAGTAAACTTATAACCTTTTTCTTTTATTCTGGCAGAGAAAATTTTACAAAATTGTCTTTTACTTAACCTTTTTTTGTCAAATAACTGCTGGTCCTCCTCATTACAACCATACGTATTTTTTGACAACCAACCCAAATATTCCTGAAGACTTAAAAAAGAAAAAGAAAGTTTTGAATAAGTGGAAATTAACTTTTTCGCTTACAATTTTCAACACAGACAATTGCAAGTCCAAAGCTACTTTTATAAGACACCGGTTGCTGCACAAGTATGAACATTTGATTTTACCGGATTTTGTGAATTTTTTCTCTAAACCTTAAGGTTAATTCATATTTTCAGAGAGTGTGGAGTGGTACGTAATCTATTTATAGAAAAATTTGTAAGAAAACCTATAAAAGTTTATTTTTACAGCAAAACACCTAAAAAGATAGAAAATCAGGTGAAAAAACATTAGCATTCCTACTTTTTTCATTTTCAATTGATAATTGTTTCAAGAATGCATTTGCACTGAGACTTTTCAACCAAAATTTTAATTTTGATATCGCGAAATTTCTTGTGCTTATTAGATAAAATTTTTTAAAAAAAGATATCATTTCATTTCGACTGCTGATGTACGAAATCATTATAAATAATCTGTCGAAAACTTAACAGCATTATGTTTTATAGTACAGATCGGCATTTGATGAAGATTCAAGATAGAATAAATGAGAGCTTAATATATAATTCTAAACAGTGTTTTTTGACTTTAAAATAAATAATATAAGTGTCTCCTGGAACCGTCATTTTGAAGAAAGTTTAATTATATTAATAACAAAGTCTTTTAATTTAAGGATAAAGAGAGAATTTCCTATTAGGGTTTCATTTTAAGATTTAAAAGTATAGGAAATGACATTAAGGAGGCTTGGGCGTTCTTGAATAAAATTCTGGCTAGCTCTGAAATTTAAAGATTATGTAAATAAATTATGCTGGATTCTTTTATGAAAAAAAATAAATAAAAAATAAATAGGTCAACACATTCATTTTCGAGAAAATCGCTTGTGAAAATATGTCATTTTAACACGTAACTTTACAAAACCTAAAATTCAATTGACTACTATACCACAATAAAAAGCTATGGGCCCACACATCGAATTGATACATGTATTGGAGATTATAAAGAATCTATTATTTCAAAAAAAGGATAGGATCAACACGTACAATTTTGAGAAAATAGCGAAGAAAACGTCGAACGTGAGAATTGTTTTGTTCAGGTACCGTAATTGCAAGTGCGCATATGCCATAAAAGTTGCAACAGGGCACCAATAAGATGGCGTGCCATGAATATAGACAGCATACGCGATTGCGAATAATGGTACACTTTCTATACTCGTAATTGAAAAAAATTTTAATAAACTGAAAATAGAATAATGTAGTTATTAAATAATAGCTAATCGAATATAACTAACTTTGTTAGAAGCATTTATTTACTGTTCTATAACATTTATATCAAACAATAATACTATTTTCTTTTATCCAGCTGATCAAAAATATTTTAAATGATTCTTTTGTTGGTAGTGTGTGTGTTGGTAGTGACTCGTGTGTTTAAATTTTTTCCTTACAGGAATGTCAAACTGTCCAATTCTCCAGTTTTAATTGCATTGAGAAGCATTGTTTAATCAATACCAGCCTTAGAAAGTTTTGTTTTGTTTTTGATGGTTTTATGTTTGTTAAATCTGGCATTGAGTTTTTATTCTCTTTGATTTTTCATAATCTAGCTTTTGTATTTAATAAAAATTCAATACTTTTAGAATTTTTACAATTTCAGATGTGTCAACAGTCACAAATCTTTAGAATAAGTTTTTGTAAAACTAAAACATCATTTAACGCGTTATGTGCGTTCATAACATCACTTTTATCTAAAAAGTCATGGGCTAAATCGATAGATTTCAGTCGAGAAAAAGTGTATAGGTATATAGCAGCAAAACAAATAAGGTGCGGTGTTGTCAACCTTATAGTGGCAGGATCGTCAACTTTTTAGATGGTACCTCGGGAAAACTAATACATTTTTTAATATTGATTTCCGAATGACTTTTCCGCGAATTATTGTTATTTTGTTGACACATGTGTGTAATTTATATGATTGTTAGAAAAATAATTCAAAGAACCATTTTATGACAAAGGGGCACTAAACACCCAAGTATCCTTAAGTGGTTCAAAGTATTTAAAAATTGAAAGTCTAGCAAACACACAAAAACTTCATTTGCACATTATACTGATGAAAACACTTGTCATATGATGGATTATAAAATAAGTTACGAAAAATATGAAAATATCTATTAGACATTTGTTATAGTAATGTGCGTTTTTTTAATAAGGCTAAGACTGAATTTCCAGGAGAAACTCAATTAAACTTTCAGAGCTTAAAACATGTCATTACAAATAGCACTATGACATTTATATATATATATATACATTATGTATCGAAAGTGTTAGGTGACGACTTGCGTAAACTAATAAATTTTTCTTTTTATGCTATTTTATCCTGTTATATTTCATTCCCAATGATAAAATTTTAAGACTCTTTACAGAGTCATACTCAACGAGAGTTATCGCCTAACAAAGCTGACTGTGTACTTTGTGGCTCTTGGAAGTATCAAGTGACAACCGAAGCGAGCCATGAAGCTTAAACACATGAAGTCAGCAAGTACCGGCCCCATAGCAAGTAAGACAATGAAGTTTAACTAAAACTTCGTGCAAGGTGCATTTCTTTGCGCGGTGTTTTAGTCAGTAGCCCGCTGCCGCTCATCAAGTGCAGACGTTAATAACTAATATTAAAAGATTGACCAGACGTTCCGTCTTTTTTCTGTTTCTTTTTATATATATACAACAAGTAACATAAAATAAAGTGATACGAAACTTATTAGAAAAAGAATTTAAGTTATTATAAAATAAATAATTATAAATCCAACGAAAAGAGGAAGTACAAGTCATTCGAATTGGTCATCCGAATTAATATTTAAAGCAAAGTTGCCAGTATTACTTTCTAGTGGAAAGAAAGGTAAGTTAACATGGATATTATATTTAACTCTCTACCTCCTTCTTCCTTTTTTAAACAAACAAATAGTTAAACTAACTGCTGTCCCGCAGCCCGTGAAGGAGCGTGAGACTGTAGTCCACAGTTTTTGGTTTGAAGCTGAAAACAAACTTAAATGACATTAAACGTTATTTAACAAAAGATTGATAAATATTACTATAAATAAATACCAAGCTATCTTTGCTTGCCAAAAAAAAACAAAAAAAAAATTATGACCTTATAATGGTGAGGTACCGTACATAGACTAGAAAAACATATTTTTTTAAATTTATATATTTATTAATTACATTTTTACATTTTTACATAGTCCTATTTTACCCTCTAA